CACAGGGTAGTGCGGTGGCGCCCCTCGTCCACGAGGAGCCTGCATCTTGCTCTAGGGAAAGCACCCACCAGTGTCAGAGAGGCCATTTCTAGGATATTCCAGATTCCAGCCCAGTGGGCAGTCCCTGGGAAGGACCGTCCAGGTAGCTTCCTGCTCAGTGTGCTGTCCTGCTGCTGCTGCCCAGGCCTTGGCCACGTGTGGCCTGGCTGCTGTGATGGCCATGCTGCTTCACCATCCAGCTGGGCCCAGGGTTGAGGTTTGCTGCGGGCGACCCCAGACCACTTTGGTTTCAAAAGGAAAGTGCTTTTCCTCTGTGGCCAGGCCTCTGTCGGCTCGAACAGCAGAGGCGGAAAAGAAGGCTTTCTTCCCAGAGCCCTGGTGGTGGTGGGGCTGAGCCCTGATGTTTCTCCACCCCTGCCCTGGGACATGACCAGTGCATAGTCCCAGAGCACCAGGGATGTCTCTGGCTGCAGGCTTGCTCGGAGTTTCTAGCAGGGGCACAGTACTTCTGAGCGATGGTCCTCCTCCTTGGGGGGGTGCCTTCCTTGGGCATGCAGCTTCAGGAGGGACACACATGGAGTGCTGAGGGAGGGAGGGGACTCCTGCGCAGGCAGCCAGGTCAGCAGAATCAGCCCGGGGATCCATGGGGGGACAGATCACCCTTACATCCTCTTCACCTGAAATAAGGGGATCATAGAACCTGTGTGGAGTGCTGGGGGGTTACATTCCTTTAACCAACACACACCCTTCTAAGACAGTGCTGACAAATTCCTGTCTTCATGGAGAGTATCTTTCAGAAGGGGACACACCAATGCAAACAGACGTATGGGGTGTGAAAGAAAACATGGGGAACATTTAAAGTAAAAGTATAGTCAAAGATACCTTGCCACAAAACCCTCTCAAAGCACTCCCCGTTTTGGAGCGTGCTCATCCTGTCATTCTTGCCGCTTTCTGGAGCAGCTCTGGAGCCCTCTTTCCTGAGTGTCTTTTGTTGCGCTGGTACAGTTACCGTCTCCTGAATCCATTCAAAATGTTGACTTCCCAAGGTCATTTTGGCTTTGGCAAAGAGCCAGAGATTGTACGGCACCAGATCTGGTGAGTGAAGCGGATGAAGACAAGTCACAATGTTTTTGATAGAAATTTCCATAAGTATTTAATCCGTGAGGTGTGATCATAAATACAGTGAAAAAATGAATGCAGTGAATGTTTAGTTTAAGAAATTGATTTTAGGGGGCTGGGGACTTAGCTCAGTGGCATAAGCACCTGCCTGGTCATGAGTTTGAACCGCGGTACCAAGAAAGAAAAAACAAACAAACAAACTGATTTTAGGAAGAGACACAGGCATTGCATCCCTCCTCTAGCTGCTCAGAATTGTCCTCCTCACCTGAACACACTTAATCCGTTGTCCTTGGTAATGCCTCTTATTGTACTAAGTGTGTCTGTTGGTTTATTTCTGTGACACTGGGGACTGAACTCAGGGCCTTGTGCATGCTAGGCAAGCGCTCTACCGCTGAGCTGCATCCCCGGCTGTACTAAGTTTTTCAAAGAATGTAAACCTTCATCGTATTTTTTGATCACCCTTTGACTTGTCAGGTAGACAAAGGAAAATGACCCCAGGTAAGAATACGGGGACTGAAGGGGCTAAGACCTGTCAAGCTTTCAACCAACCCGCGTGTCACCATGGGTCCCGAGAGCACCACCCTGTCCTTAGCCAGGGAAGGGTTTTGAGCTCCACCTGTGCTTCCCAGCAAGCCGGAGGGCTCTGGCAGGCAGCCGTGACTGACCGCTCGGACTTGTGCGGTGCGCTTTTGAACCCTTTGAAGAATTCTGCAAGTTGGTGTTTTGAGCCCCAGTTTGAAGAAGACAGGCTGAATGAGAGATGATATTTTCTCACTGCGACAGTGTTCACATTCGTGTGCCCTCCTCAGCGTGAGGGTTAGACGCATGAGGCTGTTTTCCGTGTAGGGGGTCAGAGGCTGGAAGCCTGTGTCCTGGACAGGCCACGTGGGCCACCACTGCTGTGGGCCCTGCAGCGGGAGCCGGGCACAGGCTGCTGCCTAGGTCTGCGCCACCGTCCTGAATTCCAAAGCTCTGCAGAGCGGCTTGTGGCGCGTGCCGGTGCTCACAGTCGAAACAGTGTCCCTGACGACCTAAACAATGTGTGTCTTTATGAAGGTGGCTGGCAGGGGGAGGAACGAGGAGAGCCTGCCCCGTGGCCCAGCCCTGCAGTTGCTGCACGGGTGACGATGTACCCACCAGAGAGCACTTCCGTGCTGCCTTAATGGGTACTTGGGATGTGAATGCTGGGGACCTGTCCAGAGCATGTGTCCTTCTTTCCAGTTTTCTTCTTTTAGGTCACGATCACCTTGGAGCCTGCTTCACCCAGAACCAGGGAGAATCCGCTGATGTCCTCCGGGTGGAGGAGGGATCGGGTCTAACGCTTATGCTCAGCCTCGAGATTTGGCTCAAGGCCCTCGAAGGCGTCCTGGAGTCTCTTTGAAAGCAAGCTTGGGGGGACTCAAGGATACTTAGGCACGGGACAGTGTCCAGGTTGGACTCCTGGCACTGGCTTTTACTGACTGCATACGTCCTTTGTCACCCACATCCCAGCAAGGGAGGAGGGGGGACAGGTTAGAGCAATGTCACCTTTATCAAGTCAGGAGGGCAGGAGCGAGCATGTGTACTTGCTACAGCTTCAAATTAGGTCCTGTTGAGAGACGGGTCCCTCTGAGCCACTGTGACACTAGGGGAGGACGTCTCTCAGGGTCATGCGAGATGGAGCTGGCCCCGAAAGTTGCAGCTCCATGACTTCAAGGTGAAACCGACTCTGGAGGTTGCCCTGGACTGCTTATCCACCACTGCAGGGCTCCTGGGCACAGAGCAAACGCCATGAATATGAAATCTGTGAATTGTGTAAACATCCAATTATTTTTAAACAGAGCTCTGGGACACTGTTTAATCTCCAGACAAGCAATAAGTGACTCGTGTTCTGGGTCATCTTGGGTACGCATGGCACATGGAGGGTGGGGAGAAACTCACGTAGTTCTGCCCTTGCTGGACTTGCCCTTTCCTGAAAGCAGCTCATTTTCCTGCAAAACATACTTCTCCCTGCAGTCTTCGTGGCTGTCAGCTTGGGGTCCCGTAACCCGCCATCCCCCACCAGGCTCACCTTGAGCTGGGTCAGTCTGCTGTCTCCCTCTGACCTGCAGACTGAGGTGCTCAGAAGGAGGCCTGGGCCTTTGCACTGCGGCCCCCAGAGCGTCCACCTGGGACTCTGTAGCTTTTGAAATGTTTGTAGACTGATGAGTGACGTCCTCTTTAAACACTTATGCTCAGGTGGATGCCAAGAGCCGAAGCATAGGAGAGAAAATCCTAACACAGCTGGATCCCCAGAGTTGAGCAGAGTGGGAACAGAAAGGATCATTGCGCAGATCTGGAGCAAATCTAAGAGGCCACGAGACCGAGATCTGATACCGAGTTGAATGCTGAAAAAGGACCAGATCCCTCTGATTGGAGCACAGTGCCCAGCACGCGAGGCTGGCGTTGACAGACTCTGGGGGACGCCGCAGTCCCCGGGATGTATATGAGCAGCTGTGGGGCCTCAGCCCCAGCAATCCAGATGCCACACAGTAAAGGGACACCCTGGGGCCAATATTTACCTTTTATTTTCTTCATCATAAGCCACCTATCATAGCCTAATTTTTTTTCCATTTACTTAGCAAACATTTATACGGATACATGTTTGCTGCCGTAGCTCTAGGCCTGGCTAAAGCAGTAAGCAGAACCAACAGAGCACCTGCATCTTCATGGGGCTCGCATTTCAGTTTGAAGCCCGGAAAGCGAACAAGAGTGACAAATAAGCAGACAGGAGATCTCCTAAGCGAGAAAGTGGAGAAGCAGGGCTGGATCTGGGGCAGGGCAGGTTTGCCATGTTTGGGGGATGAATGCTTTGCAGAGAGGGAAACTCCTGAGCCAGGAAATGCAGCAGCAGGAGGGCTGTGCTGAGAGCCTTTGGGGAAAGCCAGGAGGAGGGGCTGGCGAGGGCGAAGGGAGATGCAAAGGCCTTGAGGCCGGCCTGGCCTGGGGAGAGTAGAGGGAGAAATCCAGGGTGGGTCCCAGGGGAAGTGAGTGCTTTCTGCCTCACACATGTGGTAGGTGGCATGGAGCCCGGTGGGGTGTTTTCAGCTGAACAACTCACCTTGACTTACGTTGTGGCTCTGTGCCGAGAAAATCCTGTGAGGGCAGCAGCAGGTGATCATCTGGGAGACAGTGGCCGTGTCACAGGTGAGGGATGACAGAACCTGGACACAGCCATGGCAGCCAGGGGAGGGGAAGAGGAGCCGGCAGGGAGACGTGGTGAAGAGCTAGGGATGCGGGGGGAGACCCAGGCAGGGCGCTCAGGCCGGGGCATGGAGCACTGCAGCACAGCGGACTACAGGGACCCTGGGGTAGCAGCGCAAGGGCCCTGGGGTCCCAGGGTGGCTTCAGGACAGGGGTGGAGGTGGACACCAGCAGGGAGGCATTTGTGATGGAACCAGAGGCTGGCATGGGGTACGTGCTGCGTGTGGGACTTCCTGGGACTTCTGCAGAGAAGGGGTGGACAGAACATCAGTGGGACCCCAATGTGTAGGACAGGCTGGCCTCAAACTTGAGATTCACCTTCTTCCGCCTGCTGAGTGCTGGGATTAGAGCTATGCACCATTAGGACAGGATCTAAAATGTGATTTTTAGATGGGGACAGTAACACGCTGTGTGCTCAGGGAATCATCCAGTAAGGAGAGGAAATGGCCCAGACTGGTGACTGACACGGGAGGCTGCGGCTACGCCCTGAAGCAGGGACAGCGCGGCACTGGGGCTCATGCACCCGCGGAGGGCGGGCGGAGATGGGGCCTGCGGAAGTCCCCTACTAATGGCACCAGCTCCTCCAGGCAAGGCTGTCCGTGCAGTAAGGGGGAAGAAGGGTGGGAGGATGGGGCGGGCACAGCAGGACTGGGGGGCAGAGCTGTGGCTTGGGCAGGGCGGCGTTTGCAGGGAATTTGGCCTTGAGGCCTTGGCATCTCCCTTCGACCTTGCCAACCCCTCCCTCCTGGCTGAGGTAATGGATATACATATGATTTTCTTTTTAACCAGGAATCAAACTCACAGGCATGCACTTGTGCACTGAGCTGTATTCCCGGCCATGTATTTATATTTATATATCCTAACTTAACACAAGTCTTTCAGAATTCCACACCATCAAAATACTCACAACACGCTGAGCAAAATGCTGAAAAGAAGAAAGTGAACTTGCCAAAACCTGAAAAATTAAAATTAAGACTCCTCATCCCACAGCTTGAGGGAAATACCTGCTCTTTTATAACCACCGAAAGTCCTCAACGATCTTGCAATAGTAGATTTGTACATGCTCAGCTTTCCAGGAACTGCTGGGAAGTTGCCTCGTTAACCTTTTTAACCCCCCAGCAAGGCTGGCAGGGACTGATGAGATTTCCACCCTCTAGGGGGGTGAACGGAGACTGGAGGCTTGAAGAAAACTGTAGACACAGCTCACATAGAAGTAAATCTTGCGCTGAGTCCTTTGAGAGCCATCAGTTAGGGGATAAGAATGAATTAAAGTCTATTCATCACCTAACGATGGACCAGCCATTTGTAACTTGTACCTCAGATGTCAAGGACAGAAAGTCACGTGAGCAGAAAAGAAAACCCAACGAAAAGACTCATTAATGGACAGAGGGTAAGAGGCAGGAGCATGAAATGCGTCTTTGGAACCACAGCTGGAACCCTACCATGAATGGAATGGGGGTGAGGCTGGGAAGGAGTGGGGGGCTCCCAGGTAAGGTTTGCAGAGAAGGAAGGGGTGTGGCGTGGTGTCTGGGAGCCCAGCTGCCTGTAAATCATGTGACCTGGGGTGCGTGTGCATTGGGGAAGAGGTCACGGGAAGGAAAAATAGACTCCTAAAAACAGCATTCCTAGTGTGACGCCCAAGTGATCTTTCATTAATAACGAGCAACTAATGCATGAGAATTTGTCACGCACCGGGCTGCTCCTAGCTCCTGGCATAGAGTTCAGGGCTCGCTGCCTGTCTGTGACTGATGAGTGGATTCGAGCCAGTGGCCTGGCCAAAGCCAGTTGCTCCGTGGCTGTCTGCTCACCAGTTCTGGCATTTATGCAGTGACATACGGGTGCACAGTAAATACCCACCGAGTCACTGAATGAATGAATCAGCCAGAAACCAGCCCAGCAGAGGTCAGTGTCAGATGAGGCCTGCACGAAGCTCAAAGTGCCCGGTGACGTAGGAGAAGCAGCCCAATCCTCGCTCATCATCTTTTCTCCCTTCAGACTCTCCTTCTGTGTGCCCTTGTCTTCATCTGGTCCCCAAATCCTTAGCAGCTCCCCTCACTCACAGAAACAGTCTCTTTCTAAATTCCACGATCCGCCAGTCCCGGAACCCCCTTCCCAATTTCTCTTTACAGAATCAAAACCGTTGATGAGCCAATATCCAGTCTTCAAAATTTGCACACGTGAAACAATCCTCACTGGGCAGGGACTAGGTGTAAACAAGCAGTTCTGGGAAAAGTGTCCTCAGCCTCATGTCTCCTGGGAGTCATTTATTGATACTTTTAACCCACTTGGTTTGCACTTTTGCAGTCTTTTGAACAAAGGAAGGTTTTTTCCTTTATTTGGTGCTGGAGACCAAACGCAGGGCCTCTCTATGTACAACAAGCGCACACCCCTCGCCTGAGAGGGAAGCTCTGAGTGAGCGCCCTGAACAGAGTGGCTGGGAGCTGAGGGTGCGAATCCTGAGCGTCCACGGTGGAAGCTGCGTCAAAACATCAACTGTGAGCACCAGTGTGCAGACACAGGCAGATACGGCTGGAGTTCTGGGTCTTTGTTACCTTTCTTTGCACATCTATGAACGCAGCAAAGGTTTGTTGATGCTTGCTGGAGTACTTACTCTGTATCTGGCCACCAAATTCTTGCCTTGGCCCTGAAAGACAGGAAATCCCAGGCCGAGGGAGATAATAAATGGGCGGAGAAGCTGTTATCCTTATTCTTTCTTCTAAACTGCCAAACTGGTACCTTTTGCACTTCAGCCTGTACCCATCAGTCTCCTTCTGGTGGTAAAGATAGAAACATGCTTGGCCCCAGACCCCAGGCCCCCCATCTGGGGACAGTGACAGTAAATGCTGTTTGGACTGCAACGAACACCTCATTCATCCATTGAGGTAATTACAGCTTTTATTTTCTGGAAACCTATCTGGAGATCAAGTTCCACAGGACCGAGGGAGAAACATGCTCCCATTCTGGATGTTAGGAGAGAGCTTTGGTCCTGTCCTGTTGTCACCCTGCTCACCGAAGTGACCCTGAACACAGGAAGGGTGGCTTCTCTCAGGCCACACCACCCCGGGCATTGGGTGACATGGGCATCAGGACAAATGCCATCATCCCTGACACATGGAATTTTAATCTTGTTGGAGAGGCTCCTTTCTGGGTATCTTTTCTTTCTCAGTGTTGCACCAGGGATCTTATAAAAGTGGGTTTTACTCGTGTTGGAGGAATGAGTTTTGCTTGCAGGAAAACTCCAAGGAATGAGTTACACACACACACACACACACACACGTCAGCCCCGGCAACAGGGACCTCCTTGGTCACTCTGAATGTCCAGCATCTGACTCTGTGCCTCATATTTGTCAGACAAGTCAAACTCTATTCAATTGAAGATGTGGCCATCTTTAACAATTTTGGGAACAGAGTTTTAGATTCACCTTTGTGCTACAGAAATCTAATCTGTGGCAGGTGGCTGGAAATTTGCACTTCAAGTTTCTTAGTGGGGACATTCTGGAAACCTGGCCTTGGATTTGATAATACTCTCCCCCTGTTGTTAGATCATTAATTAGCAACCCTGCAGACTCTCCGAGTTAAAAGCCCAGTGACTGTTTCCCCCTTGCTCTGTAACCTGGCTCACATTGTTTCCTGGCTGCCTTTAGGTTGACACATTCTTTCCCTCACTCTTCATTTATCCACTGGCATGCTCCGCTCCTGGAGAGTGGGGGCCAGCAGTCAGTGGCCTCCGCGTCTATTTGGTCCTGAGGGAAAAATGTTCACTGTGGTCACAGCCCTGGGTCCCCGCTCAGCTGTGTTCGCTGGTGGTGGCCAATTCCTGGGAAGGAGAGGGAAGCAGGAGCCGAGACTGGCCCCTTGTCAGTGAGGATAATTCTGCCTTGGCAGCGAACAAGGCTCGGAGGGATGGTCTGGATTGCTGTATGGGCTACGATACAGTGTGGCTGGATAAAGCATTGTGCACTCCTGGGACACAGAACTTACTATTTCCTCAATATAGACTTGGAAGGAAGGCAGCGTCCCCCCCCGCCCCCATTTCAGGGCTGCAGGCTGGACCCCGGCCTGGAGGTGCCTGGGAGGCAGCAGCTGAGCGGCTGCAAGCCTTGAGGGGAGCTGCGAGACCCAGCCCTGTCCTCGCTCTCTGCAGGATGTCTGATTCAGCGTGGCCCAAGGTCAGCAGGGCTCTGAAACTGTGAGCAGAATAAATCTGCCTTCCAAGCTGGTTTGTTCAGCTTCGTCCCAGCCCCAGAAGGCAAACACCAGCCAATTCTCTCCTGCCCGCACAGGGAGACGCACCTGCTCTCGAGTCTGGCTTGTCCTCAGTGCTCTGCCTGGGACTTCATAAGCACGTTGTCCTTCGTGCCCGAGGGCCCCTTGTGGAGCCCAGCGGCGATGCCCATTGCAATTGCAGGCTGGACCCTCTGCAGCTCTGTACGAGAGAAAGGGGGTTTTTATTTGTGGCTGCTAAAACAGCTCAACGCAGTAGACAGGGCCTCTTCAGTGGAGGGCTTTTTGTGGACTGTCTGGCGACCATGATGACACCACCTCATCGGCTTCCAGAGCCTGGCACTGGCCCTTCTCGACCTCCACGCCCAGAGGTGCTCATTTCAGCTGGCAGCAAGCTGAAAGGTCAAACACGCTCCCACACACTGCAGAGCGCGTTCTTCAGAATTGTGAACACTGCCAAGTTCTCTCCCTGGTTACTCAGACCCCAGACTCACGCTCCTCCTGTTAGGGAGCACTCTGTGTGCAACATGTCGGTGCTTGGCAGTCACTTCAGGTTCAGTCTCTCTTGACCCAACGACAGAGGGGATGGAGAGAGCCTTCTGCCAACTGCTGACCCCTAGAAGGCTGGTCAATAAACAGCTCTGTTTTGCCACACACCTAGGGTGATGAAATGCCCAGGTGTGGCCGCAGGTGACCTCCCCATGTGGTCCAGGACTGCACAAGGCACAACCCCTTTGGAGCTTTCCTCCCTTCCTGGGCTCTGATCCCATGCAGGTCCCGGGGTGGAGGAAGCCAGTGTGTCTGCCTGTCTGTCTTGTGCGAGCATTGCCCAACGTGCCATCTGCAGGGCTGGTGAGGTGACAGGTTTCAGTCTGAAATATAGATGTGAGGTGCTCTCATTTCTTCTTTTTTATTTTCACATCAGATGGGTAATGTGCTGATGTCGTAACAAGGTTCAAAGGAGGCACATGTCATGCATGGAGCATGAACACCCAATCATCATGCTTATGAACTTGAGGATCGGTACTTCTATTTTTTAAAAGGAATTTTAGTTTTATTTTTGTTTTTTGAGAGAGGATCTCACTATATACTCCAGGCTGCCTTTGAACTCACTGTGTAGCATAGGCTGGCCTGGAACTCACAGCAGTCCTCCTGCTTCAGCCTCCCAAGTGCTGGGATTACAGGTGTATGCACAGATGCATTTTGTACAAGGGAAAACTGGAGTTTGGGTTAGGGAAGAGAGACAGTGGTGGGGGGCCGAGATTAATGTAACAGCCACATATAAAAATTGGGTAAAATGTAACAGGCTTCTTAGGCCTAACTTCCAAGTTACCATCCTTTCGAGGTGATCATTCCATTGACTTTTAGTAGTAATCAGTTCCTAGCTGTATTTAAAATTTATCACCCTTCAAAACTATAGATTTGCCAGCCATGGTGGTGCATGCCTGCAATCCCAGCATTCAGGAGGTTGAGGCAGGAGGATCATTTCAGGTTTGAGACAGCCTGGGTACAAAGTGAGCTCAAGGCCAGCCTGAACTGCACAGCAAGACCTTGTCTCAAAAAGACAAAAGAAAAAAAAAAAACTATAGTTTTTGCTACTTTCCAGCATTCTATAACTGGAGTTGCACTGTGTATCTGCTAGCTCTCCCAAGACTGATGCATAGACTCAGCAATTGCAATCAAAATTCTGAGTTCTTCTGACAAACTGTCTAGAAAAAAATTCACAAAGCTAAAGAACCTGTTCTATGCAGCACACAAACTTGCAGGCCATCCTGCTGAAAGACAGCATGGTGCCACCCCAGGGAGGAAAAGGACCAGGGGACAGAGCGAGCCTGGACACGCACTTGCATGGGGGCCTGATGGTGAGTCCGGGGCCCCTGCAGGAAGGCAGGACAGGTGGGTCCCCACAGGGGAAGAAACCCATCTGCCCAAGGCAGCAGAGACTAAATCCTGAGATGTGGAAGGCTGTAAGGCTTTCAGAAAGCATGTGGGAGTAGACCTGAGGCCACCTTAGCCACAGGTTCCACATCTGTGAACTCCACTAACCACGCATGGCAGAGACTCAGAAGAAACCTTGCGGCTGTCCTGAATGTGTGCAAACAGGGCAGTGTAACGGCTGCATACACAGCATTTGGCTCGTCCATAAGCCATGTCACTGCCAGTCTTGTCAAGAGATAGAATGCCCTACCTGGAGCACTTGCCCTGTTCACACTCTTCCCTTCCTCTTTTCTCCAACAACCCTGGCTGAGGCGGTGGAGATTTTGCATATGCAGATCTTAGCGGAAGGCTCCTGCAGGGCCGGGATGGTGGTTCAGTTGGGGTCACAGGTGGGGTTGCCGTCCCCAAGATCCTCAAAGCAGGGAGCCGTCCTCTGCCCCACTTGTCCTTAGCAGGTGGCCCTGAAATAATTTTGTACCCTCTCCTGCTGTGCAGCACAACAGGGTGTGGACTTGGGTGATGGGAGGTGGGGGTTCAGGAGAGGAGCTGCTCTCAGGACCCCACTGTTAAACACCCCCCAGTGCACACCGTGCATGGAATGCAGGTTACTCAGGTCCGGCTCCAGGTTGCTCACAATCACTCACACATTTACACCCAAATGGTGGTGTTTCAAACGTCAGCGCTTTTACAAATGAGTTGCTCAACCTTTCCCCTTTTGTTTTCTGCACTGCACACTGCATTCGGAAAGGCTTTCTGCACTTCATGGTTATGTTTTTAAAAATTGTCATGATTTTTTTTCCCTAAGTTTTTTTCTTTTTAGCACTTAAATCTTTTATGAGAGATAATTTAACCACGTGTAAGGTGAGGACTACAGATCTGATTTCACTTTCCTTCAGGAAGTTGCCTCGTTCTCCCAATGTTATACAGGAATAATCCACCAATTTTGAATAGTATAAAAACCAGATGTGTTGGTCTATTCTTTATAAATGAGTTTTTGCATATCTTTTGCAGTTGTATTTTATTCATATGGGAGAATAAGAGTCAAGTTTACATATGTATCACATGAACTATAGGAAAAAATTCTTCAAAATGCTGATATACTTACAGTAATAAAATTATGACTTTGCTGAGACAATGTAAAGAGAACTTAATAACAGTAGCATATAATTAAAAGATTTAAAATAGTGACGGTGGTTAGCACATGTAAAATGTCTGCAGATTTTTTTTTTTTTCTTTTTCCTTTTTATCGGTACCAGGGGTTGAACTCAGGACTGCCTGCTTGCAAGGCAGGTGCTTATGTCGCTGAACTAAATCCCCAACTCCAGATATTTTAAATCTCTAAAAGTAATTTTTATGCTGTCTTAATCACTTTCATTGCTGGACACGATTCCAACACCCACACTTAATGAAAGAGGGGTTTATTTTGGCCTACAGTTTCAGGCCACAGTTTGCTGGCTACACAGCAGGCTGGCGTGGCAGAGAAATGTGGAAGAGCAATGTGGGGACTCCCCTGTGACCCCACTCTTTTCACCAAGCTCCGGAGAGCAAGGCCACGCCCATAATCCAATCTCCCTCCTAAAATGCACCCACCAGGCCATGAGGGGTTGGAGGTCATCTAGGTATAAACCATAACATGTATGTTCTTAAGAAGTTAGTAGAGTAAGACAAACTGACAAATCAGGCAGAAGAGTTGGACAGAGAGTGTGGAGAAGAGACTTAATTCTGGAGAGAGGCAATTTTGTGGGGATTTTTTAAGTCACCATGCAGGTGGCGGAGTCCATGTCTACCACGTGGAAGGAGGAAGCCCTCGCGTGCTCACAGGCGGGGCTTCTGGGAGGAGGTGGATCATGGGTGTGCAGTGCTGGATTGGGGTGTATGATAACCAAACTGATTAGCATAATTTTAAGTGTGGCTGCTGGAAGCCCCGTCTTACATCTGGGGGGGCACCACCTAGGAGGCTTGTAGCCTGGACTGGATAAAAGGGAGCGGGAAGCCTGTTGCTTCTCCTGCCTCCTGCCCACCCTGCCATGGACCATTTCTCTTCTGTGATGCCCTGTGCCATGCGCCCTGCCTGGGAGCCAGGCAGCTATGGATTGAAACCTCTCTTAAGTAAACCTTTCCTCCCTTAACTTGTGGGTGTCCAGTATTTTGTCCCTTTAGTGAGAAAGTAAGACAAGAGGTGTTGATGGGGAGAATTCAACGGGTGGCGCAGGAGGGGTTGGGGCAGGTGTTGGGTGGACGGACGGTACTCCTTACATTCTCTTACCTTTTAGGCATTTCCTGGAGCTGCCTTATCCGCATAAATGTAAAGTAACCCGAGGACTGGGTTCCTTTTCAGTTCTGTAGTTGATTCCACCACTTCCCTACTTGATAGTTTTTTTTTAAATACACTAAATTATTTTGGACCAATATTTATGCCAGGAAAGACACCAAGGAGTAGCCTTCACATTCTCCTAATCCCTAGCAGTGCTTCCAGGCTAAACTCACACTCACACGAGCTGAGGAGTAGCTGCCCCAAGACCCTGCTGCTCGGTAACCTGACTGGGATTCTGCCCCCAAAACTTCCATGTAGAAAATCAGTATTACTACTTGGCACATGTAATTTAATATTACAATTTGATAAGGTAACTATGTTACCTGACTTTTCTAATTCTACCAAAGTCTGAGAAGAAAGCAGTATTTTGATGAGCTCAACACTAAAAATATTAGTGCAAAGTGTGTTCTATATTAAGAACCATGCAGTATCTGGGTATGGTGGTGCACCCCTGTGTTCCCAGCACTCAGAGAGGCAGAAGCAGGAGGACTCAAAGTGCATGACCATCTGGGTAACTGGTAAGGCCCTGTCTTAAAATAAAAACAGAGGGCTGGGAAGCAGAATCAGCATAAAAGCTCTTCAATCCCCAGGACCACAGGGCGGGGAAGAAAAGCATTTGGCAATGTTTTTTTCAGTCATTTCTTCATTAGCAAGGGGTAAACATGAACCTGTAAAGATAGTCCAGTCCAAGCTAGCTTGTAAATGAGTAACAAGTGTTGGTTCATTTACCCGAAAGTCCAGAGGAAGGGCGGTTTTAGGGTTGATATTTTTTTCTAGTGGTTCAACCATGTGCTTTTCTTTGCAGAGGCTCTTGTCCTCACGCTGGCTAAGTGTCTGCAGAAGTTCCAGGTTCACACCTTCACATCAGGAGAGCCCAGAAACCCACTAGTCACTTAGCCTAGACCACAGACTGTGACCCAAGGGATGGATGGAGTATGCCGAGCAGCTTCTCCATAGCACACTTGTGTGTGTTAGAGATGCAGTAACAAATCCAGTCCTGTCATCGGGTGGGAAGGAAGAAGGCACACTGGGGTTGGCAGACAACAGATGTCTACTGCACAGTGTGTGCTCCACAGCACAGGAGACAAAAGCAGGAACCCGACAACTGGCGGCTTCCAAGGCCTCCAGGAGGAACGGTCAAGCTAAGACACTGTTCTCACAGCCTGTAGCTCGGCGTGCTTTGTGCAGGCAGCTTTGATGCTGTGATCCAAGTCTCCTGAGGGTCAGCACTGTTATGTTTTCCTGACTCCACAGCACTTACATAACACAGAAGTGTAGCGAAGCACCGGAGAAGGAGAGAGAACACAAATCCTGTCACCTGAGTGCGTTTGTTAGCCACTCTTCATAACAAGCGTCTCATTCTGCATATGGATAAAAAACGAAACATTAGATCCTTCCTCCTGGACAGCTCTTATTTTAAGCTATTCCCATGTATTTTGAGGGTTTGATGAACTTGTCTTTAGCCTGGAAACTGTCGCTGTGGTGGGCTGAGTGATGGTCTCCCGGCGATGTCCGCGCTGAAATCCTGGAAGCACACTTGTTGCCTTGTGTAACAAAAGGGTTTTGCAGATGGAGCAGTGAAGGCTCTCGACGTGGGGAAGATTATCTGGGATTAGCGGCGGGTCTGGTGTGTGGCAAGAATCCTGTAAGAGGGAGGCGGATGACAGACACAGCAGCGGGAGGGATGCACTGAAGCCAGAGAAAGAGGACAAGGGGCCAAGCCAGGCAGGTGGCCTCCCCAATCTGCAGAGAAGCTGGGAAAGCGATTCTCCCAGGGAGCCTCTGCATGTTGCCAGCCCTGGCAACGCCTTGCTTTTTAACCTCTTCAGATTTATGACCTCCAGGGCTCCGAGGGAATGGATGTAGGTTTTAAGCCACCAAGTTTGGGATAATTTGTCACAGCAGCAAGGGAAGCTAATAAAATCACAGCACCATTTCCAGACCCACCTCTGTGTTCCCTAAATCTTTCTATGATGCAAATTTGTGGGCCTGACGCTTTCACAGCGCCCCCAACTCCTTTACAAACCGCCCTCATCTCCCTTCACCAGGCCTGCCCTCAGCACCCTCATCATCTTCCCTTGCTTCTCTGTTTATGAGCTCTGAGCCCCTGGCCAGCTCGAGCTGCATTCTCTCTGGGAGCAGAGGGGAGGGACAGATGCTGTCCACTGCTGAATTTCCATTCTTTCTACACCCATGGACCCTGAAGACTTGCAGACTGCACTGCCCAGGGCTGGTGGCCCTCTTCTCTCTGCACCTCATTGGGGTGTGGCAAGACTGCTTTGTCCTGTGCTCCTGCTGCTTCCCTGGCAGGAGTTGAGCTTTTAGGAAGGAACACCCCAAGAGTTCAGAATGCATGGCCACAGCTGCGCTGACCACCAGTACCCCCCTCCTGTCTCCAGGCTCCCAGTGAGCCATACCATCTTTTTGTAGTGTAGAATGGGCTTAAAGATGGTCCCTCTGGTTGGCTTTTGTCAAACAGACCTCCCTCTTGGTCACGAGCTTTCAAGCCAGAGAAAATGCCCCAGTAGGAGCTGGGGTAGGGGGGCCCCCAAGGTGCCTGATGCGCTAGGAGGAAAGCCATCCTTGCACTTGGGGCAGACATGGCATGGTAGCAGGCCCAGCTTGGGAATATTTTTAGAAATAAAGATATATAAGAATTCGGAATCATGGGAAGTCAGTTCAAGTTAACACTTAGCCCTTAACTAATGTTCTCCAAGTACTTTAAAAAGAAAGACATAAAGAGGGAGGATCAGGTGTTTGATCTGTCTGAAGTAGAGCCAGGATTTCACCACAGCTGCTTTACCCGGACTCTCCTGTCCTTCAGGCTGGGCACGGGGGCGGCCTGGGTTGCCACCCTGCCTTCATCCCAGCCCTGAGAAGGGCCAACAAGGAACTGAAAAAGAGAGAAAGGTTGAGAAAGAACGAGCAGGATGAAAGACAAGATTAGGCAATCAAAAAAGGGAAAAGACTGAAACCAATGTGTGGGTCTTGTCACTTGGAGATAAAGCAGAGACCCAGGCGCAAGTCTGAGTTTTTGTGACTCCTACGTCTTTCTCCTTCTTCAATGGAAAAAAAAAAAAAAACAAACTACAAAAACATTATTTACTAACTATGCAGACACAAAAGACCAAGTGAACGCTTTGGCCTGGCCAAGGGGCCCTGAGAGCTCAGGCTTCCTGACCTCGGTGGCCCTGCAATTTGGGCACACACTGAGGGCTGCCATCTCTGCATGGGTCCTGGGTGGGAGCCTTGTGGATCCTGATGGTGTCGTGATGCTGTTTGGATTGAGCTGGCCGTGGATGACCTAGGAAGCCAGAGATGGGGGCAGAGGTGTGTGTCTCAGGACTCTTGGCAGGATGCATCACCCTGTATGGGTCTCACACACAGCAGGACACTGGGGCCTCAGGAGCATCCTTTGACCTTCTAGCAGGAAGTGAGCTATGGAGACAGGGCTCTAGGTGGGGGGGGTAGCCCTGGGGCTACCATCTCACCCTTGGTACCCACAGGACCACTCCTATCACCAGAAATGCAGATCGGGCTAGGGAGGCAACAGACAGTGTGGGTGTGGACATCACATGGGAATGGGGGTGAGATTAACTCTGAAATGCATCCCACAGACTCTTTCAGACAGTCCCAGTCTCCTGAGCTGGAAGTCTCTTTGCTTTCTTGGTCCTGCTCTCTCCCCTTTCCTCGTTCAGTCCCGCTGTGTCCCAGGGGCTGCTTTTGGGGAAAGCTGGTCTTGGAGATTGTGTCGTGCACAGGGTGCTCATCAGATAAAATAAGACTTTTAGAATTTAATTATGGGGCCAGCGAGGAGGACCCTTCCTGCTCTCTCATTTTGAAGTCTTGCTGTCTGCTAATCAGCTGGAAACTCTGAGGATGCCTGGCTCCTCACCCCTTACTCCCAACCCCAGCAGTTCCTGGTTCCAGAATCAGGCCTGTCTGGACTCCCAAATTACAGCGCCCACAGCCAAGCCAGACGAGACACAATAGCACACAGGACTCCGCGACGTAAACACCACTGGAAAAAAAGACTATTTCCTATCACTCAGTCCTGACTTGGGAGGCTTTCTGAAGTCACCTGGAAGCAATTGCAGCAAAATGACTGTATTTCTGGAGCAGTGATTATTCACATTATCTCATAGTTGGAGCCTGCAATGTTAGAGGTTATTACAGAAAAACCTTAGGCTTCATTTTCAAAGCTGTAGATTTATTTTCATTCCTTATTATTTTTTTGGTAGAAAGAAAGTGACCCAGTTTGAGGGTTGAATGAGAATTTTGTATTCTTTACAGGACATTTTTCCAGTTGAATATGCAAATCTATTCTTTTGTTTGAGGATTCCCAAAGCAGTTCCTGTTAACAATGGTGACTGTTCTCATTTTTCTGTCAAGGCGAGCCTCACAGAAATAACCCGCTGCTGAAGAAGCTTCAGGCTTTACTCTTATCCCTCGGAGCCACTGTGATTTTTCTGTTTCATTTTTATGACTTTGAATATCAGACAAAACGCATCAACCTTGACCCTCTTTTTAAAGCAGACTCACCAGGTCCTCCCTGGTTAGAGTAAACCTTGAGTGGCTGAGTCTGGACTGCAAATGCTGCGGGAGACCTGGTTTCTGGGAAGGGTAGAACTTCTATTTCTCATTCCTTCCTAAGTTGTAACACTAGAGAACCCAGAGCTGCAGCAGGCATTCTTTGACCTGCACAGTGTGTGCGTAGGCACCTCGCTCTCCTATTGCTCTGAGAGGAGGTGCTCATGTTTCCGTTTTTTTTTTTTTTTTTTTTTTTTTTTTTTTTTTTAAGGCTGTGTCTTGCTATGTTGTTGAGGCTGGCTTTGAACTTGCTGCGCTCCTCCTGTCTCAGCCTCCTGAGTGCTGGCATTGCAGGCAGCTTTTCTGTTGAGTCTTGATAACATCTCTGACCACTGAAAAGCATCTCTGACAGTTTCTGCACATGTGTGAGCTTCTCTACCCGACACCCTCAAACGCATACTTGAGGTTTCGGATACTCTACGGGCTGAAATAAGCCCCACCCTCACATTCATGTTGAGCCTGTCTCTGGTAGGTGTGTCTGAAGACCAGGACTTTGCCCGGTATGGGGTCTAGATGAAGTCAAACGCGGGGAACCCTCAGGGTGGGATTTTTGCCCAAAGAGACACCAGAATGCTGCTGTTTCTGTCTTTCTCTCTCAGCTGGAGCAGTGCAGCAGGAGAGAGTAGCCATTTGCAAGCTGGGAAGAGAACCCAGTCCTGGGGGAACCCTATGTTCAGATCGCTAGTAAACGGAGGGTACTGCTGGGGCTGGGGGACCGCTCCCCTCCACTCACCCAACCCCCCAACTCCAGAGCCACCTCCCAGACCTTGGTCCTGAGGCCTACTACCCCAAGCAGAGCCAGGAAAGAGGAAGACTCGGAGCTCACCTTGGAAGATTCTCAAGTCCCAAACCAAGACACATGTGCGCCAGGTTCTTCAGCACAGCCCACAGTAACTGCTCTTTACTTAGAGCTCAACAAACTCCATTCTCAGGGACTGCACCTCCTACAACCACTATAACAGAGTGCATTGTGGGAAAGGGCATGCGCAGTAGGCATAGCGGGCCGACGCCGTGCGCCAATCACGCAATCACGCAGCGCGTCTTCCTGCTGCGGGACATCAGCCAGAGCGCGCGTTTCCGGGTGTTGCGCCCAGCGCGCTCTGCGCTTGCGCCGTCTCCCACTGGCGGAGCTGGCTCCCACTGATCAGACCTTACAGAGCCCCGCTTTTTCTTCACTGTCGCGTGCCACATCCAGTTCTTTGTTGTGTCCGAGAACCTGGTAACTGGGCTCCCGCACAGGCCGGGAGACCTCAGTGCCCATGGTCAGCCTCCCTGCCTGGGCATTGTCTCAGTGCTTCAAACGGAGGGAGTGACCCAAAGCACTGGACGCTGAGTCTTAACTGACCTCACCGCCTCCCGACTGCCCTACCAATTTCTGGAATCAAACACACTATGATCATAAACTACGGTAAAGGGATTTTGGTTGCTTCCCCAATTTTTATAGGTTTACCAAATGTGAAATATATTCTTAGCAATCTGTGTGCCTCAAGGGTACGTTGTACTGAATGTAATTTAGAAGAAAAAGGTCAATTCTTGTTTTTTTTTTTTTTTTGTCTTTTTCCTTTTTATCGGTACCGGAGATCGAACTCATGACTGCCTGCTTGCAAGGTAGGCGTTTATGCCGCTGCACTAAATCCCCAGCCCCCTAAAAAGATCAATTCTTGAGAGGTGGGTTTCCATGAAGGCCTGGAGTTATTTGTTGTAGTTTTGAAAAGTCAAACTTAGCAGTCACTTCTTAGTAATTTTTTTTTTTTTTGTCTTTTTAGTATTTTAAGACAGTTTCTTGTTCTGTCTTAAAGGTTGCTTTGTATCATTGTACATGGTGAAAAATGGAAAAAGAAAAATTCAACCCAGAGTAGTTTGCTTGGTTGCAGGTTGGTGTGCAGGGAGGGAGATTCGGGATACCTTGAAGGGTTGATGGTTGTTCTGCCCAAATCCAGACCTTTCCAAACCTGCTGGGCTGAGTTTTACTGAAATAATTGTTTATTCTTTTAAGTGTCCAGGAGATACTTGTTAGAACCCCCTCCCCATACTCCCATACATAACCCCTGAGGACTAATATAAATTCTTGGAAGTAATGCAGACTAAACACATAAAACAAAGCAGACTCATTTCCTTCATTGACTTGTAATTCCAAGATTTGCTCTGTCCAGAATAAAATTGGGTAATAAAACTGGCTCACGCCTGTTCTTTCCTGAGCCACCTAATCAGCAGCTCCTTTGGTACACCGACGCCCCCTTGTTCCAAGCCCTTAATCCAGCATTTCTGAAGGTATCCTTTCACTACTGAAGTGGGATTCCATGGCATGATTGTTAAGAGTCAGGTATTTTATTTGGAGTTGAATGCCTGAGGATGCACAGTATGAAGTCCCCAGCCTCAGAACACATGCTTTCACTACTGCCTTGAGAGGATCTTTCTCTGTCTGTGTTGGTGTGGAGGATTAATTACTAGTGAACTTGTGACACCCAGCTGAACTCATTCAGTGTGATGCTGGGTGAGGATGGCCCACGTGAGGATTGGTGCCAACAACATAAAAAAAGCGGAGGGGAAGGTTGCTTACTGTTGGTTCTCCTGGAGAAGCTTGTCACACTGACTTTCCTGATATGAACTTGCCTGTTCTACATGTCGGAGGAACTCAGGTCCTCAGTGTTGACTAAGTATGGCTGTGGTTCTTTTCAGGGGAGTGCTGGTCCTTAACTTGGGCATTTCTTCCTGGCTCCAGTGCAGATCCCTCAGCCTGCTGGCACAGACCCTTCGTCCTGCTGGTGCAGACTTTCTAGCTTCCACCGCTGACCCTTGGGTCTTCCCAGTGCAGATACTTGACACAGACTTGCATGAGACATTGTTGTGGGCTCTGGGTCTCCAGATGGACTCATGGGGGCATTGCCATGGGCTCTAGGTCTTCAGCTGAACTCGTGCAGGACATTGTTGTGGAATCCCGGCCCTTGGATGGATTGTTTGGCTCTCTAGCATGTGGATAGATCTTCTGCACTCTTTTGCATTTGACTTTTGGGGTGAATATTATAAAATAATCCTGTGAATTAGGTGTCCTATATTAAATCTATTCCCTTGCAAACCTCACCACAACAGTTGGATACAAAATGTGTTGTTCATTTGTTCCACAGGTTTTGCTTTCTGGCTTTTGTTGTGCTGAGGATGGAACCCAGGGCTTGGTGCTGGCTGAGCGGGCGCTTGGCCGTTGAGCCACACTCGCTCCTCTGCAGAGTTGTTGGGAGGTGGATTCCCTCTGTGAAATGACAAACACCAGGAGAGATGACAAGGCCTTTGAGCCAGCCTGCTCGACACAGAGTGCTGGTGTAAGTATAGGCTGCTTCTCTGCACCTGTCGGTCCCTTGTCATCAGATTCAGCCAACCACAGGGGGAAACACTTGAGCAAAGCTCTGATGTAAGCACTGTAGACTTTTTTCCTTGTTATTATTTCCTAAACAATACAATGTAGCACCTACTTATAGAGTATTTACATTGTTTGGCATTATAAAAGTAGTCCAGAGATAGCTTAAGGTAGCGCATGTGGGAGGATGCATGTGGGCTTTTGCAAATAGCATGCAATTTTATTTTACTCACTTATTATTTTAGAGACAGGGTCTCACTGTGTAGTTCAGGTTGGCCTCGAACTCACTTTATAGCCCAATCTGGCCTCAAATTTGCTGCAGCCACTTGCCTCAGCCTCTTTAGTGCTGGAATTACAGGTGGGAACCTCTGCACCCTACAGCATTTCAGAGAGAGGACTCCAGCATCATCTGATGTGGGGTCATACAGCCAACCCTCATGAAACCCAGGGATCTCACGTCCCCTAAAGTGAGTGGTTTCCTATTTTCATCCACAAGCTCATCTTTCTTCTTTCCCTCATTTCTTACATTATTTATTATTATGTACACATAATTGCATAAAAATTCTTGGTTATAATATTTTCTTATCTTGGTTCTTGCATGATATTTTTATTTACTTATTTGATTCCATATTTTAAGTAAAGGAATTGATCTTTAAGAACGTGACACCTAAATTTGAGCTTGCACCTTGGCGCTCACGGCAATGAACCCTGTCACACTGTCCATCATACCATCCTGCCCTCTTTTATCCACAGCAACCAGCACACTGTGTTCATCTTTATGAATCTTGGTGTCGTCCTTGCATGGGGACCGTGCTAATTGTCTCTGTATCATTCCAATTTTAACATATGTGCTGCTGAGCCAAGCACTATCTATACCTTGTTTTGCTTTCTATATACTTTTTTTTGAGAAAGATGTAAAAAAAAATTGTTTTTTAGGCAAGAAAAGTGACTATTTCTAAATGTTCCAAAACTCACACATGCACACACATAGGTTTTCAACTTATAAGTAGGAGTATTGTGCTATATGTAATACTTTGGGTTTACTTTTCATTTCTATTAGTAATGTAGAGATATTCCTCATTTAATCACCTAACTGCTTGATGACCATTCACACTCTTTGGATTTACAAAATGTTGCTTGAGCTTAGACCTGTCTTTCTATTTTTCCATACAGTTCTGTAGGTCTTGTAGATAGAGCCTCTGTGTCTGTTTTTGTACAGCACACCTTGTTTACACAGTACTTTAGCTGATGCTGGTTGTGCTGTCGAGTACAGTACTGTAGATTGACCTGCTACACATTACAGTACTGCAGTAAGAGTCATGCAAATAAAAGCAAAGTCATCAAGTTGGCGTGTCCGCTGATCATTTCTTTGTTCTGAATATTGTAGTGTACACCAGTCTTTATTTAGCAACCAGCTCATTTAATGACCTAGTTGTGGGACTGGAACTTGGTCATTAAATGAAGACTGTCTTACTCGGTTTTTCCCCAGGTGGCAATGTACTTCATAACTTTCCACCCTCATATTACATTTCACTCTGAAAACGCTATTGTTTATGAATCTACACTGCACTGAGGGGCATCTGTGAGTTCCGGTTTCACTGTTGTGAGCAGCTCCTCTTTGGATAGCCTCATATATGTTTCCTGCTGCACACTGCAAGTTTCTACTGATTTGTACTTAGGAGAGGAATAGGTCTGTTATGGTTTGTGTCTGGATGTCCCCCCAGAGCCACATGCAGTTACGGGATGGGGCAGGCTTAGCAAGGTGGTGAATCTGGAGTTTGTGATTGTCGTTGTCTAGGGCTGGGATTGGTAGTGTGGGTACTGTGCCTACCGTAAGGCAGGCAGCCTGCATACAGTGCAAGGCAGGGAAAAGAGGCTCGTTTCCCGCCTGCCCTGTGCTCTGATTGCTTATGCTGTCTTCTGACTGTAAGAGCTCATGAGCTGTTGCCACTGTGCTATGTGCTGCCCTGCCTTTGAGCCAGCTGATTAGGGACTGAAACTACTACAGACTGTGAGCTAACTAAGCCTTCTTCTCTTTAAATTTGGGCCTCAGGTGCTTGGTCTCAGCAATGGGAAAAGTAAAACAAGCCCTTAGGGTATGTGAGTGTCCAGGCATCTCCTGGATACCTGGGATTTGTCTTCGGTATGGCCGGACAGAGTCCTGAAAATGACTGTCATGTGAGAGAGGTCAGGACCACACGAGGGGGACTGTGTTGGTGAGGAGGTGAGGGAGCATGGAAAACGGGCTGGGGCCCTTTGCTGTATCATCCGCAGGAAGGGTCGTGGGAGGGAGGGTCAGCAGGTTTGAGCTGGATGAGTTCAGTAGTCCAGCAGGCTCTAGGGTGGAACTGTCCCTCCTGACCTGGTGCCGGGCTCTCTTGGGTGACAACTGCTAAGTTGTGGCTGGGACTGTAAGAGCTCAGGACAGTGGGCTGCCTGGGACAGGGCTGCCAGTCGGTGATTGCATGGATGTGGAAGGTGAACTCCCAGGAAGTTATTTACTTCTCCTAAGAGTTGGCTGTCCCTTCAGGGCCTAGCAGTAAGTTGTGATTAATATATCAGCTTTAATATTGTACAACTTTTACTCTGCATTCAGTATTACCTTGTTTTTGTGTTCTGTATACTTTTTGGGGGTAGTTATCTTGATTTATAGTCCCACCAAGTAACTCACAGAAGATCCTACTGCCTCAGCCTCCCAAGTGCTGGGATTACAGGCATGTACCATGCCTGGCTTCTTCTTCTTCTTTTTTTTTTTTTTTTGTCTTTTTCGTTTTTATCGGTACCAGGGATCGAACTCACGACTGCCTGCTTGCAAGGCAGGAGCTTATGCCGCTGAGCTAAATCCCCAGCCTCCCATGCCTGGCTTCTGGCTGCTATTTGATATGTATTTTTCTTATTCTTTTACATTTACTGCTTCTGTATCCCTCAATTTTAGTTGCATCTTTTGTAAATGGCACAAATATGGAAGCTTTCTTTTAGTCATTTGATGAATATGAGCTTTAATTGATAGATTTTAATCCATTTATATTTATTTTAATTATTACTTGTTTCATCATTTTATTACCTTGACTTGCTTCTACACTTTGTCTCTTTTACATATTTCTGTGTTTCAAGTTGTAACGCAGGACACACAGATACACACATCTCTCCTCTCCAAAATTCAGTATGATCTCACCTCTCTTGGTGTCTTCCCCTACCAATACATTGACGTTTTAGACTTACTTTTTTATTATATATGGTTCTCCTTTGCTTTAATTTTAGCTACTTTTTATGGAAATACGGAACTTTTCCAAAAAATCTGATTACTTCCTTTCCATGTCTCTTATGCTATATCTTATATTTTTCTTTCTTGTTGCTTAAATATTTTACTTAAACTATCTTTTTTTTCTTTTTCGTACCAGGGAGCAAACTGACGACCTCGAGCTTGCCAGGCAGATGCCTATGCTGCTGAGCTAAATCCCTGGACAAAACTATCTTTAAAGAGGACTTTTGTGTGCACAGACCACCTGAGAATTCCTGAGAATGTTCTTATGATGTTCACATATGTAAACGTCATTCTGTCTTGGTATAAAATCTGGGTATATTTCCTTCAGATCTTTAAAATTATTATTTCATTGTTGTTTTACTTTTTGTGTTGCCGCCAAAAAAATGGTTTTAATTTTGTATCAATATGGTTGTAATATTGGTAGGTGATCTGTTTCCTTTATTGATAGAGGATTTTAGGCTTCTTTTGCAATATTTGAGTGCCTTTTTTTATCTTGTTCCCCAAACTTTTAATTTCAAAATCTTTTAGTGTCTTCCCTCATTAATTCTTGAAGCTTCACTCCCCTTGTTCTTCAGGTTATTTTGATTCCACTTTGGGACTGTGTCATCCGACACCCACCTGTGTCTCCCTCCTCCTCCTCTCCTCTTGGCCTTGCCTGTGTGTTAGAGGTTCTCAAAGCATAGTCCTCAGGCATTGGCATCACCTGTGAGCTTGTTAGAAATGAAAACTCGTGTTCCACCCCCAGCATCACATCCCGGAATCTCTGGGATTGAGGGCCAAAGAGCAGGTTAGCAAACTGTTTAGACAGTTGTTTTACAAGCCAAAGTAAAAATCACTGTTTCATGTTTTTGCTCTCTCTGTTACAGAAGTGGGGGTGCTTGTCGTGGACCGTGCACAGACCTCAAGTCTCCAAGTCTGGAGGAGCCAAGGAGCCCTAAGGAAGGGATGCAGTAGCAGGTGTTGCCCCAGGATAATTCAGCAGGTCAGGGAAATGTATTTCAGCTGTAAGATGGCTACTGCATCTCCTCCTCCCTCGAAGTCTCGCATCACATCAGAATCTCTCTTGTGGCCCACCCCACCCAAAACCCGACAAGGCAAGGAATTCTCAGAAGTACAGGCTGGGCACGGCGGCACATGCTCGTAATGCCCCTGAGGGCCTCACAATGCTCCTCAGCCGCCCTCCGTGGGGCTCCGTGTCGCTGCCAAGTGCATGGCATGGACCTAGGGATGGCACAGTCCCAGGCACAGTCCCCCGGAAGGTGGAGGGGTGCCTGCCGGGGCAGCACAATCCACAGAGGGCCAGGCCCAGTGCGACAGCGTGTGGCCCCAAGCCCGCGTCCGTGTGGGCAGACCTGGCCTGGGCTGAGCGTGCCCCAGTGTCCCCGCAGCCCGCAGCGTGGCGTGGGAAGCTCGCTGTGCCCTAGTGGTCTCACCCCTGTCCTGTGTGAGTCAGACTCCACCGTGGGGTCGCCATGGACCCCGCAGGCCCTGAGTTGGCACCACCCCTGTTTTGTTTTACATCTTTAATCTCTGTTGGTAGGTGTTTGTAGCATATAATGCTTCCAGTCCTTGTGGGGAGCTGGTCCGTGTGCACAGCCCAGCTGATTCTCTCTGCACTGCCTCGCCTGGCCCCTCCTGCCATCTCTGGGTCTCCTTTCCAGCGACCATCACCTACTTCTGTTACCTTCTACTTGATGCTGTATGTATAATCTGGTTTCTCACAGCAGCAAACCCGCATGGTGTTGCTTCACTGGACATCATGGTCTCATGGTGCATCTCTTTTCCTGCACTGACTCAGACGTACCCCGCCGTGTGTTATTTAACCCATTCATCTGTTTCACCCTGGGAAGCGAGGCTCTGCCCGAGACCTCATGCAGGGGTCGTGTGTGCTGTGTGGCTGCTCTCTGCTGCTTCCTTACCGCATCAACTACAGCCAGCGCTCTGGAGGGGAGACGACAGCTCCAGGGTGAGGAAAGTGCTCTGTGCGGCACTGTGTGTAAAGGCACGCTGATGGCCGAGGCTGAGACTGAGCTTGAGATCCTCCTGCCTCAGCTTCCCAAGCGCAGGGATTACAGATGTGAGTTACCATGCCCGGTTTCCTTCACTGTTTAATATTTGCTACATGTTATTTATTTCTAAATGGTTTTGGTTTTGTCACACTCAGCTCTTAACATGCTTTGCAAATGCGCTTAGGGATATAGCTCAGTGGCACAAGTGCCTGCGTGGCAAGTGTGAGGTTGTAAATTCAATCCCCGATATAAAAAACAAAACAAAACGATTTTCTAGTGATTTTTATTTATATTGTTTTTTATTTAATTACAGTTCATAAATAGACTTTTACATATTAAATCTCATAGAATGTGTAGTTTGATACACTAAGTCCCTGAAGTTAAGGAAGCTATTATCCTTGGCTGTCTAATTTCAAACATTAAGACACAAGAAGTCAGCCTGCCACTGAATTCTGTGTTTGCAGGCTTTGATTTGATTATAGAATTAATAAGTTCGGTAAGTTCAGAAGTCTCAGGGGAGGAATTAACTGGCCAGCGGTGGACCGAACAATCTCAATGTGGTTTGAGTGTCTCTAGGTTCACGCCTAGCGCCAGTGACCTTTCATTTACCAATGGAATGGGGCAGGATGTCCTCTGCATGGCTCCCTGAGGCTGGCGGCTCCCTCTTTGGGCCGGGCTATCACGTCTTGAGCCTTTTTCCCGGCGGTAACCGCTTCCCTGAGCACGCACTGTTCCTCTTCCCACGGGCATTGTCTGTGGTGGCATCAGGGGTGTTCTCCTGGGGGGGCTCCTTAGACTTCTGCAAGACAGAAACACACTCGGTGGGTGCCCACCCAGCCTCGGCAGGACTCTTCCAAGAGGCCAGCCCATGAAACTCTTGGAAAACAAGACATCCAGGCCCTCCTCTCCATTCCCTTATTCGTGTCTTCAGGAGACCTTAGACATGGATTTCAGTGGGTTTGGTGGTGTTTGCCTGTAACTCCAGCACTGGGGAAGCTGAGGCAGGAGGATTGCTGTGAGTTAGAGGTCAGGCTGGGCTATCTAGTAAGTTCAAGGCCAGCCTGAATAACGCAGAAACTATCTCACCCTTTCCCTAGTAGAATAAATAAATAAATAGAAGTATCAATGATGTCAGCATAAAATCTGGGACTCCGAGTCAGAATTTCCTAAGTGCACTGCCCTTTGCTAGCTGCAGACTGAGTTTCCCTGCTGAGCTCTGCTTTTTGCAGGATCCTTTGTAAAGCCCAAGATTCCGTCCCAGGCTTCGTGAACTGCTCTGAGAGTGCAGACTGGGACGGACCCCAAGAGCCGTCAGTGCTGTGTGCAGAGACAGAAGCTGTCCTGTTCGCCAGGCATTTGTCCTCATTCCACAGCCTGATGTTTTCAGTCTGCAAAGACTCTGCTGCCTGCGCTGGCCGCGCGGGCGGCCCTGGGCACTGAGTGTCCCTTTATGCGACAGAGGCATAAACAATAACAGATTATGCAACTGAGCCTCTCCAAGGTTGCCTCTCTGGTTGCTGATGTGGGGTGCTTTTTCTCACAATCCAGCATCCGGGAGGAGCAGGAAAAGGCTGCTCGTGAATGCCAGCAGGTGCGCAAACTAGGCCACTTGGCCCTGCACGGTTCCCAGGCCCGGCTGCTTCCAAAGGGGTCCCTTCCAGAGCCACACGGCCAGCGCTCTGCTGATGGAAAGCACAGTGAAGGAACTGGAGGCTGAGTCAGGAAACCCCTAAAACAAACAAGGGGGGGCTTGCCCCTTGTCACCCTCTTTTTGTCTGCATTTAAAGGCCCTCTGTGCAGGCCACAGGAGGTGATGATGATGATGGTGGTGGTGACACGGGTGATCCTGTAAGAACGGTTCTCTGGCACAGGCACTGGACATGTACTCGTGCACTCAGTCCTAGCAGTGAGCCAACCCCACCCTGGCTGCATTTGCTCTGAGGGCCACTGGACACTTTTTACATCCACATTTTCCCTTTAACTCTCAAAGCTTTAAACGCTTTCCCTAAAAAGAAAGTGGCCCATCTTACCTGTGTTCTGTGTGGAATATTCTCAGAGATCACTGGTTTGGTTTGGCTTCCTGTGGATTCCTCTAAAACTAAATGAAGGAGCATGTCATGCAGATGACAGAAGGAAATAAACATCTTAAAAAGGCTTTGAGTACCGACAGGGATACCCTGACCGAGGAGCAGGCAGGCAAGTGGAATGTGTTAAATGTGTTGTGGTTACAGCTGCAGGTTTAAAGTTGTTCGTGCGGGATTTTCACCACGATGGTTGAAAAGCTGCACTGTCCCTCCTCTTAGTTTTCTTCGTTTTACTAGTGCATGCTTTGAACAATCAACACGTTCAAGATGAGGAGTCAGTCCCCGGACACGTGGCAGCCGGGCCTTTCTCTTCCCCCTTCTGCTCGGCGCCCCGCCCGCTGTCCACTTTACCATCAAGCTCTGACCTGTGCTGGCCCAGCATCATGACACAGCCCCAGCCTGCATGCTCCCACCTGCTAGCGGGCGCCCAGGGGACCCACAATTTCCAGTGCTTGCCGGGCCAGGTGACCTAGTGACTGACTCATTTCTGGCTCCTGGCCCTAACCCCAGAAGGTGACTCGCCAGCAGAGAAGCTCAGTCTCAAAAATGTAACAACAAAAAACGATCCAACATTTCAGTAGTGATTCATGATGTCACTATCCTTACAGTGTTTATCTTTTTAATCCAATTTATGTTCCTGGCAGAAAAATCATATAAAATGAATTAACAAGTGATAAATTCCTTCAGTACACTATAATTCTGAATGATAAAAATCCCCCAAACTTAAACTGAAATACGATAAATCTTTTAATAAACATTATTTAAAAGAAAAAATTAAAAACTAAAAATGCGGAGTCAAGTGACTCTATATATGGTTAAAAATTGGTAAGCAATAGCCTGTAACTTTTTCTAAAACCATTTCAGGTTTATTACTGATAAAATGCTGAAATGCTATACTCTGCAAGACTTACAATGTTTGGTGCAAGGTAGATGTGTTTCTTATTTTTTCTTTTTCTTTTCACCTTTTAAAAAGTAGTACTGTCTATGTTCATGATACACAGATGTGGCTTTAGGTACCCTAATTATCCCAGTTAAGTTTCATATTTTTGCTTTCTGCTTCTGTTGCTAAGTGAGAAGTCACACCCTGACGTCCACTGTGAGCAGTGCGATGTCCCCGGCCCTGGGGAGCGGCTGGGGTGGGGTGCAGCCCAGGGACAGGACAAGGAGACGGTGTCACCGGAGGACTCACCTGTCAGAACTGCGTCCAGCTGCTCCACCATGAACTCGGCGTCTTCCGCAGTGAAGCACATGGGCGGTTTTATTTTGAGCACGTTTCGGTGAGGTCCGTCAGCGCTGAGCAGCACGCGTTTCTCCTTCATCCTGGTCGACGCAGGAAATACACGTGAGTGCTACAAATGATAACCGACACGCAGGACATCCATCCAGACTCCCACATTCTGCAAGCCCAGGGCTGGCAACTGCGTGTGTCTTAGATCTTCATCTTTGGGGAGATGAGAGGAGGGAACGCAAGCTCTCAGAGGGGCCGGGTACCGGCAGACGGGCAGGGGCTTTACTTGTAGATGATGTGCTGGGCTTCGGCAGTGGCGGGCGTTCTTTTCTCGCGGTCCTTCACTAAGTCAATTCCGATGAAGAGGCCAGCACCCCTGGGGGAGGGGACGAGAGACCTGCTGGGGACTCTGCCTTGTCACAGCAGCTCGCACTGTCCCCTGCTGCCCTGCAAAGCTGAGTGTGACACCATGTAAGTCTGACACTACTGAGTCCAGGAGGCCGATCAGTGTTTACAGGTGCTTTTGGTTTCTGCAACTTTTTTGTTCAAGTTTTTTTTTTTTTAATTTTAAAGAGAAAAAAAAAAACTAGATCACCCCCCACAAATCAAACTAAAGAAACATATAACAACAATAATAACAGCAAAAAGAACCCATAGCAATAGTGATACAGGATTTCAAGGCAAGATGACAGGGATACCCCACAGATTGGGAATAAGTTTTTGCCAACTGTCCCTCAGACAAAAGACTTCTATTTAGACTGTACAAAGAACTGGAAAAAAAATCAGACCTCCGAAATTCAAAGACCCAATTCAAAAATCGGCACCTGAGATGAAAACACACTTCTCAGGCAAAGACATACAAACAGCAAATATATGAAAGTATGTTCAACATCATTGGCCATTCAAGAAATGCAAATTAAAACAACACTGAAATTCTTTCTCACCCCAGAAAGAATGGCTACCCTCAAGAGATGGACTAATAACAGATGCAGGGTTGTTGTGAAAAAGGAACCTTGCTTCACTGCTGGTGGGAGTATAAACTGGTGCAATCACTGTGGAAATTAGTGTGGAGATTCCTCAAAAAGCTAGGATTAGAGGTTCCATTCCACCCAGCTATTTTCCTTCTGAGTATCTTCCCAGAAGAATTAAAAGCATTATACCACAGCCATATATGAGCACCCATGTTTACAGCAGCACAATTTGTAATAGCTAAATCTTGAAAACAACTCAAATGGCCATCAACTGAGGAATGGATAAAAAGATAATGGCATTTTTATACAGTAGAGTACTGCTGAGCTATAAAGAAGGATAAACTCGAGGCTTTTATAGGGAAATGGATGCAACTTGTAACTATACTCAAAAATAAATCAGACTGGCATGTGTAAACAATGTATTTTTTTCCTTTCAGTTATAAAAGAAAGGGGGTTCAAGACAACCTTTGATTTTTCAGGATACTTATGTACATATGTTTATATAGCTATGACAAAGTCAGTTTCCTAGGCTACATTTTAAGTAATTTTCCACAGGTCACGTAGAGTGGCTTTTAGTTTCTCCTTCTCACCTCTCAGTGTTGAAACGATGCTAGCTTTATGAAGAAGAAAATGTGTGCTGGCCAGGAACACCAAATGCTAACCACCTCTTACTGTGGCTTCTAGATGAAGGATGATTTTGCTTTCTTCCTCAGTGTTTCCTAGATTTAGCTTTTATATGTGAAGTTTATAAGGTAAAACATAAACCATCTTAACTTTGGGAAAGTGAGAGGCTAGAGGGCAGCTTCATGGTAAACGTACCTGACATCTCCTATCAACGCATGCTTGGCCTTCTGCTTATTCAGTAACTCAGTGAGGTGATTTCCCACTCTGAGAGCATTTCCTTGCAGGTCTTCCTTTTCAATTACATCCAGGACCGCCAAACCCACAGCGCAAGATACTGGATTTCCTCCGTACTGCAGGGAAAAGACCAATGACAAAACCCAGCCATTGCATTAGTGATGTTGCCTCCTCCATGAGAAATTTGGTTCTTACGTACCTAAGTGAAAATACAATCTTCCTAAAAATTCCTCCTAGGATACTAGTTTCTTAGATGTCGAGTGGGGAATGATTTTATTCCCCTCATGATCGAAACAATTTCCAATTATCTTCTCTATGCAAATTAGCGTTAGCAGGGCTATTCGGGCATTGGCTGGTTCGCCAAGCCAGAAGTTAAACACGTAACATTGGGGAGGAAGGGCGTTATGGGCTAGCGAGGAAGGACAGAGCTGCCTGCCTTGAAGGGTAGTGAGAGTAGCTGAACAGTGGGATTTCCTCCGAATGATTTGTGTCTTTAGATTTGAATTTTACTATTCTCTGTTACACGTTGTGTTTATTAGAGCTTATGCTCTAATAAATTTTCCAAGCCCAAATCTTGTAACTTCAGGGATGAAAACCAAGCAAGTGAAATTTCCCAAAGACAAAAATTTAGTATCACTTATGACAGCTGTCTAACATTTATAGGACTAAATTGTCTAAACTTTTTTTTTTTTTTTTTTTTTTGTCTTTTTGAGATAAAGTCTCACTATGCTGTTCAGGCTTGTAGCCCAGGCTGGTCCTGACTTTGCAGTGATCCTCTTGCATCAGCCTCCTGAGTACTGGGATTTACAGGAGTGGGCTACCCCACCCAGCTTGTCTAAACACTTTGAAAGTGTTTTGAGAATTTAAACAGGACATGAAACAAAGATCATATTGTTTATTAGTGAAAATATAATCTCCAAGGTTGGGTAAGATAATCATTTATCATTGGAAAAACGAATGAGATTATTTTAGGAAGAGAAAGACACAAAAGGAAAAAAAATTACAAGGAATGTTGTGCCAGATAGGACAGAACTGATTAGACCACAGTTTGGCGAGGGTTTTGGGATGGTTATTCGGCAATACTGAACCTAACTGCGTACAACACTGGGGATTAAACAGTCACAGTAAGGACATGCATTACGCCCCCTCTTGGAATTAAAGTCGTAGACCCCCGGTTACCGTATTGAAATACTCCATCCCGGAGCGGTAGAAGGCTTCCGCGATTTCTTGGGTTGTCACCACACAAGCCACAGGGTGGCCGTTGCCCATGGGCTTTCCCATGGTGACGATGTCCGGGACGAAGTCTTCGCCGTGCATCTGGAAGCTCCAGAAGGACTTCCCCACTCGGCTGAAGCCCACCTGCACCTCGTCGGCTATAAACACGCCCCCTGCTCTGCGGACGTGTCTGGAAGGCAAAGGGGGTTTCCGTGGCTTTGGGTTGAGAGTCCCCAAACTTGGCCACAGTGATACAGCCTATGGAAAACTGCAAAAGAAGCTTTTAACCTGAAGCCTTGACCTGTGTCCCAAGCATTCTAGTACTCTGGATCCGAGTTACACAAGTGCAATCACGTGGTTTCTAGGTGGTGTGCAGTCTACAATGCCTGGCTCTGTGCTGCTTAAAGTGAGCTGTGTGAAGAGTGGTTTTTGGCAGAGTTCATCTTCCAGTGTTTACTACTGGGTCAGGCTCAGAACCAGCCCATCAGACAGGATGCCAGGTGAGGGCTCCTCTACAGGACTCTGTGTCGCGTCTCTGGTGACTCTTGGAGTAGGTTGGGGCACATCTAAGAGTTCTGAGGTGGCAGGAGCTCAGGAGTGGGTATTTCCCACCCCGTACTCCCACGTTTTGGCCCCAGCGTGGCCCTACGGAACTGCCATAGTGACGACCTCAGTCTGACCAAGGGTGTCCCATCAAGGTACATACTCCGCCACTTTCTGGAAATAGCCTTTCGGGGGGATTATTTGTCCACCACAACTCTGCATGGATTCAGCAATAAAGGCAGCGATCTGGAAGAGAACACGGGGTCAGAGTCCATTAGTTCCTCGCTCATCGGAAGAGCCTTTCTTCCAGAGCGGGTCATTTTAAATGTGACTAGATCCTCTGGTGGGTTGCAAGAAGTCCCTTTGATTAGAAAGAAACCTGACTCTACTGGAGATAGAACTGACCTAAAGCTTTGTCCCTGGAATTCTAGGGTGTATGGAGGAGAAGAGAGGGCGACTCTTTTCCTCCACCATTAATGTCGCCCTCTCCTCTCCTCCACCATTGAAGAGCTGTAGTTTAATCAGGAGGAACCTAGGAAGACTGGAATTCGGGTCGTCTTTGCTAAGAGTCTCTAAGGAATCGTGAAGTCATCAAAGGCATCACCTCGGCGTCTGTTTATCCGCGTGGTGAGATGGGACAGCTGAGGCAGGCATGGGAGGGTTTGGCCACCTCGTAAGGCTTCTCGGTTGTATTTCTAGGTTTCTCCCTGGTTGAAATCTACATCTGCAGTTAGGCAGCTTGCCCTGGAGTGCAGATGAAGCGGTCAAGGGAGGAGCAGTAGGAAATGGGTACACAGAAGTGAGGAAAGAAAGTGTGAGGAGACGGTGGGATAAGGAATCCAGAGCCAGGCACGGAGGCACACGCCTCTAATCCCAGCACTTGGGCGGCCGAGGCAGGAGGAGCACTGCGGCTTCCTGGCCAGTCTGGGCTACATAGTGAGTTCAAGGCCGGCCAGAAAATCAACATAAAAATGAAATCGAGAGAACCAGGTTCTAATGCTTACTATTTTAACAGGTGAATTAGCTTGGGAGAGATCCTTGGCTTTTTAGATACTTAGTGTTTAGCTATGAAATGAGGGCACTGGACTCCGAGGTTTCCATGTAAGACGCTGTGGCTCTGCCAGCACATCTCCTGGTCCGAAGCTCATGGCTCATGGCTGTCTGCATCACTAACCCAGCAGCATGAACCCCAGAAAGAACCAGTGCTAATATCCCCAAAAAGCTGCACAGAGCCTGTGTTGGCAGAAGAGTGGGAATGATCTTGGTACTGTAGCTGTTCTCCTGAAAGCGTGGCTTTTTGTCCTCCTAAGGAAATATGGGCTATTTCTGAAGAGGGAACTTTAAATTTAGATCAGCACAGAGACACCACAGAAGAAGACAGAAAACACAAGAAAATGAAGCAACAGGGAATGTGAGTGAGTTTCTGTTCACAAGAAGACAGAAAGATTTAACTAGAAAAAGCAAACCATTTTAATTCCCATGTGGTTTTTTTTTTTTTTAAATAATTGCCCTATCTACACCACAAGCTAGTTTCAAGGCATCATCAAGGTGCACGAAATATCTGCACTGGTTACCCGGAGTGGGCTGGGAATGGGACATCACTAAGTTGTGAAGACTGAAAAGCAGAACCCCCATTTCCCCCATTTCTGGACTCTGGTTCTGTTTCAAACATCCAGGCCTAGATTGGAGACAGCGTTCTGCCTTGGTTTACCCAGCTGCAAAGTGAGCCCGGCGAGGCTGTAGCAGCTCCAGGGCCGCAGCTGGCTCCCTGAGGTCTGGGAGAGTGGCCGGCTGCCCTGCCTCCCTGCTGACCATTAACCCAGTGCCCCGTCCCCCTGCACAGCGTTGCCTGCAGCTGCTCTCCCCATCCTTCATCTCCGCCCCTGCCCCTGCCCACACCACTCTGCTCCTGCCCACTGCCTGGGAGGTCAGGCCTGGGCCAGCAGCACGGGACGGGCACAGTGACCACATTGCCAGGATGATCGCTGTGGACTGCCTCACAGGTACAGCCAGAGTCATGCGCTTCGTGAAATATGGAACCTCGTGAAACAAGCCAGCGAAGACCAGAGAGGGAATTTAGGTCTAATCCTTTTTCTTCTCTCCACTGACTGCAACAGCTTCAACCCATCTTATAAAGCCGTTTCCGGGATTCGCAAGGCACTGACCTTCCTCCCGCCGGCGTGGGCTTCGTCAATGATCTTCTTCACTTCGTCTGCGTAGGCTCCCGCAGGGTCCGGGTGGCCTTCCCGGTACCTCCCTCTGTACGTGTCTGGAGCTGGGGCCTGCCAACAGCAAGCGTGCGGGTCCTCATGCCTCCCCGCAAGGCCACGGTGGAAAGGTGGCCGTCACCTTGGGCGGCCCTGGGTTCCTCTGTTCTTTTCCCTCCACAGTTCTGAGTTCTGTGAAGAACTGATAGCTTTGATTTTGGAACAGGAGCTTGGATTTGTTCCCAGACCCTTCTAAATCAAAACTTTATTCCTGGCCACATAAAATTCAAATCAATAAAAATGATCATGTTGTTCAAAATGCCTGTGAATGGAAACTGTGTTCCTTTTTAAAATGAACCAGCACCTATTAATCATATCCCACACTATAATCATTCAGAAAACTTTAGCACTGATGCTAGACTTTAAAGTCTTGAAGAAGGTACTTTTTCAGGGGGAGGGGGGAAGGGTTTTGGTGAGACAGGATCTCACTGTGGAGCTCAGTTTGGCCTTAAACTCCTATGCAGCCTAGACTGATCTTGAGCTTGCAGTGTTTCTCCTGTCTCAGCCTCCCTCGTGCAGGGATCACAGACATGAGCCAGTAAGCCAGTCCTGATGACTGTCTTAAGAAAATCTACTGGCCCTCCACTGACGCAGACACATCACATGAGTTTCACTGGTTCAGCCACTTGCTTGGTTTCTTCATTTGACTTCATAAATCTATACAGTAACAATATATGCAGCGATGGTGAACTTTTTAGAGATTTCAGTGATAACAGCTTCACTACACTGGCAGAGAGCAGATTAATTTTATAGCAGTCACACAAATTCAAATTAACCCTGATTTCAAGTTGACATCAGTGATAGGAAACATCACTGAAGATCGAGGAGCAAGATGAATGAAATAACAGCTGAGCATAAAACACTCTGCAACTAAACCAATTCAGCGGTGGACGTTAGAACACACGCTGTCTGGACGTTGACCTGGGGCCAGTGCTGTGGCTTTATGTCACACGGTTTCATTTTAATGACAGAATGGTGCTGGATTCTCCCCAGAATCCTCCCAGTGCTCATATTCTGACTGGCACCCTCTAAGAGACTTACCACGTGTACAAATTCTTTCTTGGCATCTTTGTCCTTCTGGAATTTATATGGACTGATCTCAATTAAAGATGATAGGTGACCATGATAAGCACTGAAAAGCAAAAGAACAGGAACTAAAATTGCTCACAGAGAGAGATTCTTCTACTATGCGGAACACAGTGTTGTGTGTGACGCATCCACATCCATCTCTCAGTGCTGGTGCCAGGCATCATGGCTGAGGCTCTCCCACAGTGAGCCTGCCCTTTATGATATAATAAAGCACATGGAAGCTGAGTGTCCTCATGGACCATTTCTTTTGTGTGAGGGAAACACACAATTTCTTTAGGTTCCATTGCTAAAACAGATTGCCTACAAAAACCTCACATGTGAATTTTCAAATGTATTTGACAGTTACATTCTAGTAAAAAAAAAAAAATTTTTTTTTAAACAGTTTTACTCTGTTGCTCAGAGTCACCTCGAAGCCCTGAGCTCAACTGATCTTCTTGCCTTGGCATCCCAACCGGCTGGGGTTACAGGCATGAGCTAGTACGGTGACACATTTTAAAAACAGCACAGAGTTTTATTGGATCATTGAACAGAACTGTTTGCAGTATCATTGTTGGAATGTCCACTCTACAAGCTTTAATTTTGTGACTTGAACAATTATTTCTAAGATGGCAATATGTAATCCATTAACTAGTGATTTCCTACTGCGCATTTTTTTCTTCTGTAAATCTGTATAACTTGTACCCCTTCACTATTTTTTTTTCTTTTCTCCTTAAATAAAAAAAAAGAAAAAAAAAACAGCTCTCCATCAAAGAATGCTCACTGTTTCTGTGTGTGATGGGTTTTAAAGGATGCCGAGTTGCAGATATTAGTTGAAATATTAGCTGGGAAAGAATGGAAGCTTCTTTGAGAAGAACTCAGATTGAGAGGTGACCAAGTGACTCTGGAATTTATTCTTTTTTCTATTTCTTGCCCAAAAACATAAGTGAGAGATTTGAGAGGGAATTATAAAAGACCCATTCACAGATAATGCAAAGAGAAAGAGCTTGCCCTGCCCTAGGTTACAGTGTGCTACAAAGCCTTGGGGACGAGAGTAGCTCAGTACCAGAGTGAGGAGGCAGAGCCCGCTGAGACAGAGAGAGAACCCCGAGATGCGCTGACGTGCAGATGGTGATGAAGCCTCTGTGTGGGTTCCACGTGAGGACCGATTACCAAGGAGAGGCAGCAGAAGCCCGCCTTGTGTTCTGGGCTGGGTGGCGTGGGCATGACGGGAGAAATAATTTTTTAAAAATGTAGAAAATCCGAACCACAAGATGGAGATTTTATCTATTTGATTTAATCAAATCGTTGTAAGATGTCATGCACAAAGTTAAAAGATGATCAATTGGAAAGATGCACCTACAATATCTCAAAGCAAAGGGGATCAATGCCTGAAAGGGTAGTTCTCAGTCCTGCCTGCGTATTAGGGTCGCTTGGGAGATTCACAAAAGGCAAAGCTGGGCTTGGGTCAGAGATTCTCTCTGGATGATCTGTAGAGGGCAGGGCAGTAGCATGTGAAAATATTTCCCAGAGGATTTTAGATTGCATTTGAGCTTGAGCTCCTCCAATCCGGACTCTACAAGGAGCCCACAAGATGAGGCTAAAAGCCAGAGTGACAGTGGGTGAGGCCGTGAGCAGGAGCCCCTGGGAACCACACAAACATAAAAACACGCAGAGAGGTGCTCTGAGTAGTGACTGGAAAAAGGAAAAATCAGACAACTGTGAGACAATTCACTGTAACTATCACACTGGCAAAAAGTAGAAAAATTAAAAAGCTGGAGGATGTGATGCTTTTTGGTGAAGACGTGGAAAAGGGGACCCTTCATGAACTTGTAGGTACAGCCATTCCAAAGACAACCCTGTTCCGGGTCTTTACCTCTAAGAAGTTCTCAGAAAGGCACCGCGGGAAGGGTGCTCATGCTGCTTGGTGGTAGCCATGGCAACCGCCTCAAGGAAGGCTCTGCCAGAACTGCTCCAAGATGCCCTGTGGTAGCTGCTCCCGCCTGTGGCTGCCAGGCTCTTGGAAAGTAGCTTGTCTGATCTGAGCTGTACTGTAGGGATGAAACACGCCCTGGACCTCGCATATGCAGTGTGACAAAGAATGTGAGCTACCTCTCTTTTTCACACAGATGGCTTACACACTACTTCTCATGGGCGCCCCTGAGTTGGAAGAATATCCCCTAGGGTCCTCAAAACATATGCAGAGGACACAAGGTGGAAACAGGAAGAGGCAAATTGTAGCAATTTAAAAAATGAAAACAGACACACCTAAAGTATTTTTCATGCAGACTCTAAAATAAAAGCTACATATTAGGTACCATTATCACTGTCTGTAGCCCATGGGGATGTGAATCAAAGAGAACGCAGGACTCTCCCCAGAAACACTCGTCCTCAGATGCAGAACCTCCCAATGGCTTAGGTTTAAGGCAGAGGGGACTCTGTGGATGGGATCAGATGGCGGTCCCCTCGGGGAGACTATCCGGGCAGGTCCCATAAGTGACAGAAGAGGTGAGGGGACAGCAGGAGCCTGGGCTCCACGAAGAGCACCTTCACCTGAGCTCAGCCAGAGCTGTTTTGGATTTCCGACCTACAGAGGTGCCATGTGATAAGCCCGCACTGTTTGTGGTGGCAAATTCGGGGCCCATGGGGGCACCACTTACTACAGGCACCGCACAGATCCAAAGGCAGCTATTAGAGGGCAGGGGCAAGGCGTTTGTTCAGGTCCTTCCTGTGTAGCTGAGGTTCGTGGGGTGCAGGGTTGACCAAAGAAAATTTTAAAAAACTTCCCATGTAAGGACACACGTCAAATTTCTTATTTAAAATGTTTGAGAAGCAAGGTTACCCGTGACTGTTCATACTGCCAGTACTAAATTTTACCTGGGCTGTTGGTTCTATTTAAAGTTTAGGTTACCATAAAACTGATTACAGTGGACAGTCATAATCATGGAGTGAATTCCTGGATTTGTAAGAAGTAAGTGACATTATTCTTTAAAAAAGGGTTGAGTTAGTGGATGTCACAGAGGTACAATCAAGAGTGTGTGAAGGGCCGGGGATCTAGCTCAGCGGTGTAAGCACTCGCCGGGCAAATGTGAGGTCGTGAGTTCAATCCCCGGTACAAAAAAAAAAGGGTATGTGAAGGTCGGCTTGGAGCTTGGGAGCAGTGGGGTCCTGCACCCCACACCCTGGAGAGGCACTGGATTTGGAAGGACTGCTGTCTTCTGGATTGCAGGGCCTTAATATAGCATTAAAAACGCTGATCCCATACCTGCCCCGCTGTGCAGGTAGGGTTAGTAGGGCTGGGATCAGTGCAGTTTTGTTTCTCAAGGGCTTCCTGCTTGGAAATCTTGCTCCCAAACTTACTGGTCCAGGGTGATCACATCTTGGTGGCCCCGAAACTGCCGAGCCAGGCGTAAGGCTAAGTCGTTGGCTTCAGACCTGCGAGGAAGCAGGGTGGGGAGGAACAGTGTGACAATCGCATCTACAATGTTGATTACCAAAGTTGTAAGGCGACTGACATTCATTCAGAGGCAGTGCACATGGCCACGAACCTGCGGCCTCCTGGTCAACCTCACCTCCCTGAAGTCACCAGGACAAATTTCTTAGGTGTTTGCTTTAAAGACTGGGACATACATACAGTTTTAAAAAGTGCTTAAAAAATATAATAAAAAGGAAGGAGGCAAACAGAAGAAACCCAATAAAAGTCACAGCCATGTCGCCCGAGTCATCTTTGAGGACAAAGAGAAGCCTGCCCAGGCCCCACTGCCAGAGGAGCCATTCGCCAGACAGTGCTTTGCTGGGTTCACTGCTCCAGGAATGAAGACTGCACTTAGAGTCTACAGACCACCTGCTTGGAAGGCCGAAGCCACGGTCCCTGCCCCAGCCCAGCGGCTCCCTGTATTCACACTCCTCTCACCTGTGGGAGGCAGGCTCCGCCTTTCCGGCCTAGGAGACAGCACCAGGGAGGTGGAGGAGCAGGAGCAGGGCCGGGCAGGGCCAGGCTTCTGCCCAAGGCCTGAGCCTTGGCCCAGACTGCTCTGTGACACCTGCTCTGCTGGGCAGTGCTGTTGGGGATGAATCCCTCTTTGACAGTTTAGGGCTCTTTAGAGATGAAGATGTGACACTGTATCATGAATGCTTTATAACAATGCTAGGTCCTAAAATATCTTCTCAGTGCTTTACAGAGAGAAAAGTGATATCCTGGTTTTATGTTTGCTTTTAAAATGTCTTGTGGAAAAGTAAACTAGAGGAAATCATACAAGCAAACACTCAGAGAATTTCTAATAGTGAATATAATAAAATATATCATTTAAAAATAGGAATTGCTCATATTGTATATATAAAACTTTCCCCCAATAAAGCTGCATTTCAAGCATGGTGAGCCCTTAGAGATGTATTTTATTATTATTATTATTATTTAAACAAAGACAAAATAGAAAACAGGCAGAAATAGTACATACTTTCAAAGAAAAGAAATAAACAGTAATAAATCACTAATTGATGTATACTTATTGTGCCCCCACAAATAGTTGTTCAAGATACACAAGTGGAACATATAAATGGGAATTCAACCAGCGAGACTGCAAACAGTTCAACTATCCAACAAAAGCTAAGTAATATGGCTATCAATCCTATACACTTAGACATATACACATTTATCCATATCTTTATTTATGTTGAGACCTAACTAAACTAAATTTATTAGATTAAAATCCTTCTGAACAAAGATTAATAATATTGCTGGATTTCACATCATAACAGATGTATTTTTAAAAACACACGTTTCAATATCTGTATAACGTCATAGAATGCAGAGATGATAATTTGAATTCATGGAATTTAAAACTATATCCTTGAATTTCCTTTTTTCTTTCTTTGCTGTATTTGTGTTGAGGAAATATGCCCCATTTCCATAAAAAAACTGATGAAAAATCCTACAGAAAGAGTCAGGCCTGGTGGCTCAGATCTATAATCCTGGCATTCCGGAGGCTGAGGCAGGAGGCTCATCATAACTTTGGGGCCAGCCTAGGTTACTTAGTGAGTTCAAGGGCAGCCTGAACTACATACCAAGAGACACTGTCACAAAAAATCCTGCAAGAAGTATAGCTTGTTAGTAGCTTGCTTTATGTACTAAAGTCCTTGATAATTTTTAAAATATATTTGGTTCTTTGAGGCAGCGTCTCACTATTAGCTCAGGCTGCCCTAGAACCTGCAGCATGAGGATCCCTCCTGCCTCAGCCTCCTGAGTACTGCAGGGCTGAGGGGCTTGGGCTGCTGCTCCTGGCCTCTCCGAGGTGTTTGGCAAGCTCTGTCTGGGCAATGGCTTCTTGGGCTGCTCCGCTGCCTTAGGATCTGGGGGTCCCTGGATCCCGGAGGCCCAGGAGGCCAGGCCCCCAAGGAGCGGTGCTCACCAGGCTGGAAGCAGCTGGTGTGGGGGTGAGCAAGCGGGCAGAGGGCAAGACGTACCCCGAGTTGGTGAAGTAGCAGACGTGGAGTGGCGGTGGCAGCGTGGCCGCCAGGCGCCGGGCGAGCGCCACGATGTTGTCGTGCAGGAAGCGCGAGTTGGTGTTGAGCAGCTCCATCTGCGCGCGGGCGGCCTGCACCACCTCGGGGTGGCAGTGCCCCACTGGGACCAGGGACAGAGCAAGGCGAGCGGGCTCAGCGCCTGGCCGCAGCGGCCCCGGCCCCGGGCCCCGCACCCGGCCTCCGCGCGCTCACCGTGGGCCACGTTGTTGATGCAATCGAGGTAGCGCTGGCCGCGCTCGTCGAACATGTACTGCCGCCGGGCGCGCACGATCTTCACCGGGTCCTCGGCGAAGAACACCTTGCAGGAGGGCCTGGGGCCGGCGGAGACCGGGGCTCGGCGGCCGGGCTCGGCTCACCCCGCGCGTGCGCCCCCCGCCGTGCGCCACCGGCATGCGCGTGTGACCCCGCTGTGACCCCGCCTGCTCCCGGGGAGCCCCTGCATCGGAGGGGAGCCCCAGACTGACCCCTCACCGCCCTCTGGGAGATCTTGTTCCCCCCAAAAGCAGAGCTGCTCTTTCTGAGGTGTCCTAGCTAGCAGAAGCCTTTTTACAGATAGTATCTCATTTAACCCTTGGAGAGCCCAGGGCAAAGGGATCCATAGCTTTGCGGGTTTTAGGTTTTATGCGTGAGGAGATGGAAGAGCAGAGAAATGAAGACGCTTGGCCCGGTTACCCAGCTGCCAGGAAACCAGCATCTGAAACCTGGTGGTGTCTTCCTCTGTCTCTTTCCAGTTATAAAGAAATGAGCAGGACTGTTTTCAATCTAGAAAACTTCAAATTAACTGCTACAGGGACTCTGTAGAACGTTTTCATTGCTGTGTGTTTTGAGAGGTCCGACAGGAGAGTTTTGCACTGGTTCTATAATTTTCATTGTTGTTTTCATAATGATTTCCACAATCTATTTCTTTGGCAGTGCTGGGGCTTGAACTCAAGGCCTTGCAAATGCTAGGTAAGTGGTCTCCCCAGCTGCACCCCAGGCCTAGTTTCCGTTCTTATGTTTATTGTTTGATTCATTCACTTAGGTTTTGAGACCAGGTTGTGTACTATGTAGCCCAAGCTGGCCTCAAATTCACAGCAATCCTCCTGCCTCAGCCTACCCAGGGATGGGATTATAAGTACACACCACTGTGCCCAGCTTAAAGTTTCCATCTTAAATAATAAAATTCAAGAGTCCTTCTCTTTCACTTTTTGAGCAAAACAAAAAGTCATCCATATTTCTGGTTATTTGGATGAATGTTCAGAGTGTAAATTTTAGCAACAGGAATATCCCAAAGCTTTCTGGTCTTGGTTCTGTAGGTATTTAAGAACTAACACAGTGAATGCTTGTTTTTATTTTGGTGGTTTTGCACACATAAAAGAACCCTCCAAATATGAGTGATAGTTTTGGGGGGGGGTTCTTAGAGATTAACATTTTAAGTTGACCTGTAACTATTCAGAAAGTATTTTGATTCTCGCAAACGCCTGGAAGCCTCAGTATGACCATTATGCGTGGCTGCAGTGTGTACTGATGATTATTTTGTTTATTTGCAGTGCTGGGGATGGAACAGGAGCTGTCACAAGCTCGGGGCTTTGTCCCTATGCTGCAGTCACAGCCCGTGATGTAGGTCGTCATCACCAGGTAAAACACACCTAGTGATGACATCGGTTGGCTCAAACTCAACTACTGACTTCTACCGCCAAGTTTAGATTCCCGATCAGGGTTCACATTTATGGCTATCGTTTTCAAAACCAGAAGCCAGGCACGGTGCCACACACTGCAGTCCCAATTACTCAGCAGGCTGAGGCAGGAGGATGGCTTGAGCCCAGAGTGGGAGACCAGGCTGGGCACACAGTGAGACTCCTGTCACACTGAGTAAAATGAAACCTGGCCACCACACACACACTGTTATTCTCACTTCTCCTGCCTGTAAAGGAGAATGTTTTTATTTCTACTTTCCTGAGAGAGAATTAATGTGACAGAGGTCAAGCAGGTAGGGGACTCCTGGGGGACCAGAGTGCCACATTCATTACCAAGTTGTTTATGAGGGGACAGACTAAGCCAGGCGAGGGCACACGGGCAGACCAGCGTGTCCCGGGGTGGCTTTCCAACAAGGTGGTTTAATTTCCTCCTGGCTGCCTCCAAGCATTCAGGGAAAAGTTCACTTTAAATACAAGCTGGCTTTCTCAGCCAGCTTCAAAAGTTTTTCTGCAGCTGGGCACGGTGGGTGGTGCACACCTGTCATTCCAGCACTCTGGGAGGCTGAGGCAGGAGGATTGCGTGTTCCAACCCAAGCTGGACGATTTAGTGACAACCCTGTCTCAAAAAGTAAGAAGAGATGGGGCTGCAGCTCGGTGCGAAAGCCCTGGGTTCACTCCTCAGTACTGGGGAAAAAAATCTGAGATCACAGATTTCAAGCTTTGGATTTGGGTCCTGGCGCCTGTCTGCTAGCCCTCCCGCCGAGCTATCACTAGCCTTCCGCCAGCTCCTGCAGCCTTAGCCCTGGGTCAGCACCTCCAGTTGTGCGCCCGGGGGTTGGGGATAGAAGGCTGGGGGGGGGGGGCGTTGTGGGGGGGTGGGGAATGGGACGCGCCCCAGCTCCAGGTGTAGGTGAGAAGCAGGCGCGCAGTGCACGGCGTTCGCGTTGCGCACTGCGCCCCCAGTGGCGCGCGCTCGCCGGCTGCCCTCCCTCCAGCGCGTCCCCCGGCCCTGGCCGCCTCCTCCCCGCGCCTGTCCGCCCCTCACCCGATGTGCTTGCCCCGCAGCGCCAGCGTGTCCTCCTTGCTGTACAGCTCGCACATGGTGGCGGTGCCCGGCTGTCTCGTTGGCCGGGCTCCCCGTTGTCCCCGGGGGTGCCCTGGCCCTGGCGTCGAGGTCACCCGTGGCATCGCCCAGCCGGGCCACCCCCTTTTAAGCGGCAGCTTCTGGCGTGGCCAGGCCCCTCCCCGCGGTGCCGCCCGGCCGGGCCTCCCCGCCCCGTGTGCCCGCGTGCCCTGCAGCCTGGCTGTGTTTTCCTGACTTTGTCTCCGCCTCTGCCACCTCCTCCGGGCTGGGGGACTCCCCCCGCCCCCCGTTTCTTCCTGGATTCTTTCTCCCACTTTTCTTGGTCCAGCTTCAGAGTCTGGCATTGGCGGCCACCGGCGGGTCTGTGTGTCCCCACCAACCACCGCCCAGTGCAGCCTGCAGAGAAGCAGCTGGCTCGCAGTGGGAGCGGTGTGCCAGGGCGTCGGGTGTCCATGAATAATTCCACAGCCGGCCCTGGGCGTGGTGGCACTGCGCGCCATCCCAGTGCTCAAGAGGCTGAGGCAGGAGGGCCCCGTGAGTTTGAGGCCGACCTGGGCTATAGCGAGTTCAAACCCAGCCTGAACTGCCTAGTGAGACCCTGTCTCAAAAACAAGCAAGCAAAATTCCATGGCTAACGTCTACCACGTTCTTGTGGCTTGCCTAGTAGAGTCTTTTTTTTGGTACCGGGCATTGAACTCTGGATCTCGAGTTTGCCAAGCAGGCACTTATGCCTGCTGAGCTGAACCCGCGGCCCCTAGTGGAGTCTTTGAGAGGTCCGTTTGCACCTCCCGGCTCTCTGTGGTCTAGGTGGACTTGGGCTCACCTTGTGGCTCCCAACCTCTGCAGTCACTGTGGTGACACAGATCACATCTGCAGGGCTGCCATGGACGCGGAGAATCCCCTTTGCTGCAGCCCTCAGTGCTGAGCGGCCCACAGGCCCGGGGGGCCTGCTCCTCCGTGGTGTCCAGACCTAGAGCGGGGTCCAGGCGAGGAGCAGGCTCCCCATCTCCGTCTGAGGAGGGGCAGCGGGGAAAGCCTGATTGATAACCTGCAGGGAACCTGTCTCCTGAGGGGCGGTTTGTGTAAGGTAATGCTCGCTCGGCAGGGCGGGGATACAATTTCATTTTCTTTTTATTTTTTTTTTAATTTTATTTAAAGAGAAAAAAAGGGTAGAAATAATAAAGATATCAAAAAAATTAACAGTAAGAAATCACTTATTAATAAATTACATATTGTCATCTTAGAACTAGTTGTTTAAGTTACAAAATTATAACATAAAAAGTGGACATTCAAACAGTGAGACTGCAAACAGTTCTGTGCAATGATCTAAAAAATCTTAGTAATATGGTCATCTATCATACACACTGAAACATACATGCAGTTACATCCTTTAGAGCCCTTTCTTATCTTCTCTTTTTTTTTATTTTATTTAAGAGGAAAAAGAGAAAAACACAAAACAAAACAAAGCGGTGTAAGGGTACACGTAATACAGAACTACAAAATAAAAAAATAACAGTAAGAAATCACCTGTTAATAGATTACATATTATCATCTTGAAAATAGTTGCTCAAATCACAGTATCAAAGAATACAAAGTGGACATTCAAACAGGGAGACTGCAAACAGCTGTGTTCAATGATCCAAAAACATTGATATAGTCAGCTATTTAACACCCCTAAACACACTTGCTGTTATATCCGTTAGAGCTCTTTTTTTTCCCCTCTTTTTTTACAACAAAATTTACACATTTTGGATTTTATTACTCCTTAGTTCTTATTACTTTTTTGGGGGGGAGAGAATACAGTCAAATATGGCATAACAAAGCTGTCAGTCAAAACCAAGGATAGACATAGCACATGGTGTAGAACAGAGTACAAGGTTATCAACAATGGTTATCAACGTTGTCTCTTGTTTCCTTAAAAAGAATTGTCTATCTCATTAGGTATTACAACATTGAACAAAACAGTAGAGAACAAGACCAATAAAACTTAGGCATTGTAAACATTATAGGACCTCCAAAGGAGACAATAGTCAAACCAGAATGGGCATCTTAGTGAATCTTATTGCCTTCAAAGTAGTTGCCTATGTCTTCAAACTTGATACTATCATATAGAATGGAACAGAGTCTAATCAGTCAAAACAAGATCTTGGGAGTATTACAGGACTTCAAAACAAGTTAATAGGAAATCAAAAAGAGTTACTATTATATATCCTAATTTTTAAAATTTTTTCCCTTAATTAAGACAAACATAAGAAATAACTAAATAATTTTTTTAAAGAATAAGGGGGAGATTGAGATGAAACAGGACATAACAATATAACAATAGAGGTCAAAGCATGACTGTTTCAGCAACCTAGTGCTTCACCACCATATAACCTGACTTAATAGTAGTTACCATAGTGTCTGTCTTTTTCCTTGAAATATTTGGATAAAACTTCATATACTCTAGCTTCAAATATTTCCATATCAAGAAGCCCAGAATAAAGCCTTTCTAATTAATGAGTGAAAACTTTATAAGGCTTCAAGGCCACATTATGGGGAATCATGATTACCACATATTTTTATATATTTGAATCATTACTTACATTAGGGAAACTATTCGGTATTCACACATGCGAGATTGATTTATTTCACTTATGAGTATGGTCTCAAGCTGCGCCCATTTATTGATAAATATCTCAATGTGATCCTTCTTTATAGCTGAATAATACTCCATTGTATAGAAATACCACAACTTTTTTATCCATTCCTCAGTTGATGGACACTTGGGTTGTTTCCAAGATCTGACGATTACAAATTGTGCTGCTAGAAACATAGGTGCACATATATCACTGTGGTATGATGCTTTCAGTTCTTCTGGGAATATGCCTAGAAGTGGAATAGCTGGAACAAATGGGATTTCCAATCCCAACTTTTTGAGAAATCTCCAGACAGACCTCCACAAAGGCTGTACCAGTCTACACTCCCACCAGCAGTGCAGGAGAGTTCCTTTTTCCTCACAGCCTCTTCAGCATTTGTTGTTGTTTTTCTTGATCCTGGCCATTCTTTCAGGAGTGAGATGGTATCTCAGTGTGGTTTTAATTTGCATTTCTGTAATGACCAATGATGATGAGCATTTTTTCATGTATTTATTTGTCATTTGCATTTCTTCATCTGAGAATTGCGTATTCATCTCAGATGCCCATTTTTTGATTGGATCTTTGAATTTTGGGGGTCTAAGTTTTTTTTAATTCTTTATATGTTTTAGACAAGAGTCCCTTGTCTGAGAGAGAGTTCACTAAAATCTTTTCCCAGTTTGTGGGTTTTCTTTTCACTATGCTGGAGATTTCTTTTGACATGCAGAAACTTTTTAATAAGAAGTGGTCCCAGTTATTGATTCTGGGAAGTATTTCCTGTGCGGTTTGAGTCCTGTTCATGAATTCTTTACCTACTCCTATGTCTCCAAGGTTTCTACCTAATTTGTCTTCCAATAGATTTAGTGTTTCTGTTTTAATATTCAGATCTTTGACCCATTTAGATTTTAATTTAGTACATGGTGATAGACATGGGTCTAGCTTTAGTTTTCGGCAAATGGAGAGCCAGTTTTTCCAGCACCATTTATTAAAGAGACTGTCGTTCTTCCAGTGAACCTGCTTGGCTCCTTTATCAAAGATAAGGTGGTTGAGTGTGTTTGCAGTTGTGGTTGTATCTTCTAATCTATTCCATTGATCTTCGGTTCTGTTTTGATTCCAATACCATGTTGATTTTACTACTGTTGCTTTGTAGTATAACTTCAAGTCAGGGATTGTGATGCCTCCTGCTTTGTCTTTGCTGCTTAGAATTGCCTTTGTGATTCTAGGTCTCTTCTGGTTCCAGATGAAATTTAGGAGTGATTTCTCTAGATCTATAAGGTATGTTGATGGTATTTCTATTGGGATTGCATTGAATCTGTATAACAGTTTTGGGAGAATGGCCATTTTCACAATGTTTGTTCTTCCTATCCATGAGCAAGGGATGTCTTTCCATTTTCTGAGATCATCTTCAATGTCCTTTTTCAGTGTATTATAATTTTCACTGTATAAGTCTTTCACTTCTTTTGTAAGAGTAATTCCTAAATATTTCATTTTTTTGGTTGCTAATGTGAATAGTCCAGTTTCTCTTATTTCCCTCTCTGTGATTTTGTTGTTCGTGTATAGGAATGCTATTGATTTTTGAGTATTGATTTTGTATCCAGCCACATTACTGAATTTATTTATTGTATCTAAGAGTCTTTCAATGGAGTTTAGGGGGTTTTCTATGTAGAGTATCATGTCATCTGCAAACAATGATAATTTAACTTCTTCTTTTCCTATCTTTACCCCTTTTATTTCTCTTTCTTGCCTAGTTGCTCTGGCTAGTACTTCCAGTACTATATTAAATAGGAGTGGTGATAAAGGACATCCTTGTCTTGTGCCCGATTTTAAAGTAAAGGCTTTCAATTTTTGGCCATTTAGTATGATGCTGGCTGTTGGTTTGTCATAAATGGCCTTTATTATATTGAGATAAAGACCATTTATTCCAATTTTCTGTAAAGTTCTTATCATGAATAAGTGTTGGACCTTATCGAAGGCTTTTTCTGCATCTATAGAAATGATCATGTGATTCTTATTTTTGGCTTTATTGGTATGGTAGATTACATTTATTGATTTGCGTATGTTGAACCATCCTTGCATTCCTGGGATGAATCCCACTTGGTCATGGTGTATAATCTTCTTGATGATTTGCTGGATCCTATTTGCCAATATTTTATTGAGGATTTTTGCATCTGTGTTCATTAGGGAGATCGGTCTATAGTTCTCTTTTATAGTTGGGTCTTTCTCAGGTTTTGGTACTAGAGTAATATTTGCTTCCAGGAATGACTTAGGAAGGATTGCTTCCCTTTCAATTTCATTGAATAGTTTGAGGAGTGTTGGCATTAGGTCTTCTTTGTATTTCTTGTAGAATTCTGCAGTGAATCCATCTGGGCCTGGGCTCTTCTTGGTGGGTAAGGACTTAATTACATTTTCAATTTCATTAGCAGAGATTGGGTTATTCAACAGTTTTACATCCTCTTGATCTAGCTTTGGTACTTCATATGCTTCTAAGAATCTGTCTATTTCTTCTGTGTTATCAAACTTTTGAGAGTAGAGGTTTTCGAAATAGGTGTTGATGATCTTCTGTATTTCTAT